TGCAAGGTTTCTTTTGAGAAATCAGCTGACAGTTGTATCGGTGCTCCCTTGTAGATAACTAACTGCTTTTCTCTCACTGCTTTTAAGATTCTCTGTCTTTAACTTTCGGCATTTTTTTAATTTTTTTAATTTATTTTTAAAAAATTTATCTTTTTTGATTTCAGAGAGAGGAAAGGAGAGGGAGAGAGATAGAAACATCAATGATGAGAGAGTCATTGATCAGCTGCAGCCCGTAACCCAGGTATGTGCCCTGACTGGGAATCAAACCCTGATCTCTTGGATCCTAGGTCGAAGCTCAACTGCTGAGCCACACCCAGCCGGGCAACCTTTAGCATTTTAATTATGATGTGTCTTGCTGTGGACCTCTTTGGGTTCCTCTTTTTTGGGACTCTCTGTGCTTCCTGGACTTGTAAGTCTATTTCTTTCCCCAGGTAGGGGAAGTTTTCTGTCATTTTTTCAAATAGATTTTCAATTTCTTGCTTTCTTCTCCTTCTGGCATCCCAATAATACGAACGTTGGGCCACTTGAAGTTGTCCCAGAGACTCCTTACACTGTCTTGACATTTCTGGATTCTTTTTTCTTTTTGCTCTTCTGGTTGGGTGTTTTTTGTTTCTTCATGTTCCAAATTGCTGGTTTGATTCTCAGCGTCCTCTACTCTACTGTTGATTCCCTGTAAATTATTCTTCATTCAGTTCGTGTAGCCTTCATTTCTGATTGGTACTTTATGATGTCATCGATGGTCTCATTTGTTTTCTTAATAGTCTCACTAATATTCTTGAGCATCCTTATAACCATAATTCTGAACTCTGTAGTAGCTTGCTTGTTCTATTTCATTTAGTTCCTTTTCTGGAGATTTCTTCTGTTCTTTCCTTTGTGACATGTTTCTTTGCCTCCACATTTTGGTTGCTTCCAGGTGTTTGTTTCTATGTATTAGGTAGAGCTGCTGTGTCTCCTGGAATTTGTAGAGTGGCTTTGTGTAGTAGGTGTCCTGTAGGGTCCAATGACTCAGCCTCCCCAGTCACCTGAGCTGGGCCTCCTAGGTGCTCCGCTGTGTGGGCTGTGTGCACTGTCCTGTTGTAGTTGAGCCTTGGTTGCTATTGGCGTCACTGGGAGGAATTGACCCCCAGGCCAATCAGCTGTGAGGACCAGCTGCAACTACAGCCAAAGAGCTGCTGTGCTGGAGACACCCCTATGGAGCAGGATTTACTTCAGTGGAGCTTTGTTTACCAAGTGTGCCCCTTGAGTGTGTCACTTGTGGATGTGGTAGGGTTGTAATCCAGTGTGGTTGAGTCTGACCACCAGGTGCACTGCCTCTGGAGCCTCCCAGGAGGTGCAAAGTCAGCCTCTGCCAGTGCCTTGCCCAGGGCCACCCAGCATGAGCTACTCAACAAACCGTAGTTGGCTGCTACTTGTGCTGGGCTTGATGTTGTCCAGGAGAGGCCAAGCCATGAACCAATGCAGGCTGCCACTAGTGCCAGGCCTGGGGCCACTTATCAACCTGTATGGGGCACGCTGCTGCTTGTTTGAGAGATTTAAAGAAAGTCCTAAGCATGAGGCTCAAGAGGCCACTTGCACAGAAAAGCCATTGTAAACGGCTTGTATGAGCCTGCAGGTGGGGAGGGGCGGGGCCTCCGGGAATCACAGGGCGGAGCCAAAGGTGTGTCAGGTGCTAGGGAGTCAAACATGGCACCTGCCTGCCGGCTGTGTGTGGGGGAAGGCTCGCCAAAGGAGCAATGGCCTCTCCCAGCCCCTCTGCATGGGAGGAAGCTGCCCCTCCACCTCTCGCCCTGATTCCAGGCAGGTTAGTTGCTCCCCAAGTGTCCCAGGTCCTTTCAAGCTGCTGCCCGGCACTGGGCTCAGAGGGAGCGCGTATGAGTGAGTCTGTTCGCGGGCCCTTTAAGAGGAGCTGCTGGGGCTCCCGTAGCCTCTGTGACCCTCAGTGACAGTCCCCACTGGTTTCACAGCCCAGAGTTGTGGGGATGTCTCTTCCAAGCCCTGGAGCTCTGGGTTGGGGTCCTGATATGGGTCTCGCTCCTCCGGGAAACCTCCGCTGCCACGATTCCCTCCCGGGTTTAACACGCGGCACTGGGTGTGGGCCTGCGGACGCATCTCTGGAATTCAGCCCCATCCGCCCGAGTCTCCGTCCCTCCTACAGGTCTCGGTACTGCTTCAGGTCCCTTGGTTTTAGGGCTTCTGTGCAGCCAGATTTCAGGAGATTCTGAGTGATGCTTGTTCTGTATTTTAGTTGTGATTTTGATGTGGTTGTGGGAGGTGGCGGGGACCGGAGTTACCTACGCTGCCGTCTTGTTCTACCCTGTGACTTTTGATTGGCGCATTTAATCCATGAGTAATGAGAATAAAGGTTTAGAAGAATGGAAGGAAAGAAATACTTGGAGAAATCTGATATTAATAAGAGTTTGGATTGGATAATTGAGGACTGTATTAAATTTGGAGCATGTTATTTAGAGTTTTGGTTTTTATCAGTTCAGCTTGCAAGAAATGCAGAAAAGTTGTGATGTCAGTATCTGAAAATTGTTAGTTTTGTAAGTGTGGTAACACATTGGTTATCTAAGATCATAATCTTTATTGGCAGTATTCTAAAACCTCATGTTAGGATTACAATCCTCCCTTTTATCCCCAGATGCACTGCCCGTACCAGCTCTTTCCAGAGCAAGAGACTGTTTTCCCCTTTCCCCTCACTTGTGTTTATAATCCCAACTAAAACATTAACACATGTGGAAATGTTTACTATGCTTTGCATATTTAAGGACTGAAATGTTTTGATTTTTGCCCTAATTGGCCAGTAAGAATGTAGAAGTATCCATCTGATAGCAAAAGTTAGCTAAGTAAATAACTTGGTGAGTAGGTATTGAACTATTCGGGAATGTAAGTTAGAACAAGACAATTCTTTTCTCTATTTCATAGGATCAGTGCCACCTCAAATTGTAAAATAGGCTTAAGTGAATTTATTGCATTCTGTAAAGCTGATATTTTGCACTATTTCATGAAAAAAAGTTGTAAAAAAGGTAACTTGTAGTTAACGTTCAATTTTTTTTTCCAGAAACACAGATAATTATATGCTGTAGAGGACGGAAAAGTCCCCCCACCTCCCATTTAAGGCCATTGACTCCCTAAATTAATGAAGGCCAGTAAAGAAATAAAAGCAACTTAATCCAGCTGGGGATTTTTAGGAACAAAATACATGTAAATTGTTACTTACCTGATTTTAAAAGTTAAAAACCGCTACCAAACTTTATCCAAAAATATTTTTTAAAAGAAACTATACACAAAACCTTTTGGATCCATACTGTGGCCTCCTTAAGAAGTAAAAGGTTAAGGACAGAGACAGAAAGAAGAAATAGAAAGGAAAACTGGAAGGTGGTGAGTGGCATGCAAGAGTCAGACAGCCTGGTAACCAAGGACAAGTGACACCATAGAGAGAATGGGAAGAGAGGCTTAATCATTTGTGAAGTATTAGGGAACAAATTGTCATACTGTCACATATTTGGGTTGTGTTTCAGTCTTGTCTCCCTTCTCAAAAGAATAATTAGCTGATTAACCACTGCTGGCAATTCTTCATTTCTTATCTTCAGTCTTCATCTCTATCACTAAAGAGCTCAGCCCCAGAAATACAGGATGGAAAGGGTAGATATCTTCCTGGTTGTGCAGCCACGCCCTGGATTCCCATCTTTACCAGAGATGATGACCATGTCAGTTCCTCTGGGGTCGATCTTGCTCCTACAATGTATGTTTGAGCCCTAATGAGGCTGTGGTTATTTGCAGACCCTTGAGATGTACTGTGATTTTGAATTGACAGGAACACAAATTTTCTATCAAAGGCTAGGGTGCTGGATGTTATATATTTGGAATTTTCTATTGAACATTTTACTTAAAGAGAGATCCTTTGAGCTTTTCATGAAGTGAAAATTCAGGAATCTAGGAGTCTACTGTACCTGTCCACACTAGAACTTTCCCTCCATAAGCATTTAGATATGTGAACAAGATCCTCTTGTAGAACATACTTTTCTCTTCAGCCCCATATCCCAAGGTTGTCTCTGAGACCACTTTTTAAATTATAAATCCCTTTCTGTTTATTTCTTCAATTAATTTTTGCTTATAACATTGCAAAAATGGCTAAATTTGCCCAGCTGGCATAGCTCAGTGGTTGAGCGTTGACCTATGATCCAGGAGATCGTGGTTCAATTCCCAGTCAAGGCAGATGCCCAGGTTGCAGGCTCGATCCCCAGTAGGGGGTGTGCAGGAGGCAGCTGGTCAGTGACTCTCTCTCATCATTGAAGTTTCTCTCTCTCTCTCCCTGCCTCTCTCTGAAATCAATAAAAACATATATGTATCTTTACATATATTATATATTTATGTTATATATAAAGAAATATTAAAATGGCTAAATTTGAATGGCCCTTTAACCTGCATTTGAAATCTAAGACTGCTGAGTTGCCATCTCTGCACAGAAATGACCTAATGACCCAGCCCATGCTGTGCTACTTGTTTAGGTGGAACAACACTCCCATGGATGAGGCGCTGCACTTCGGACACCACGACGTATTTAAAATCCTCCAGGAATACCAGGGCCAGTACACACCTCAAGGAGACTCCGACGACGGAAAGGAAAATCAAACCGTCCATAAGAATCTTGATGGACTCCTGTAACAATTTTAAACCTGAGATTTAAATCACTTACCTATTTAATTGTGGAAAATGATCATGAAGAACATGTGTATTTCTATCTGGTAGTGATGTATATTTTACAGCATTTATCATTTCAGTGTTACTGGAATTTTCTTTGTTGTACGCACAGGACAAATCTGATCTCTTTGGGGAAAAATAGAAATAAAACAATCTCCCTCCATAATGTGAGCAATGTTTACCTCGTGCATTGTGCAATTTGATGTAAAAGAAATAGCTATCAATGCTAGCTTTTCCGTGAGGTCTTCATGATTTGTTTTTGTGATTTGTGAATTTTCTGTTTCCGGTGGTGATCTGCTGATATGCATCTATAAATTAAGCTCTGTTTTAACAGCCTGTCCAAACGGGTCGAGGCTGCCTTTAGAAGCAAAATAGTGTGATTTTCAGGACTTCAAGTATAGATTTAGTTTGAGTGTTTGAACAACTGTATGCACTTATGGTTGTGTATTTAAAATGTCTCCCATCACCCCAGCTTCATGATGTGACTTTAAAAATTATAATAGTTAACAACTGTTTGTAGCATAGACCAATTCTGATTAGACTTTATCAGGGAATATGTTTAAGATACGTTTGGTGACCAAAACATATGTTTGAATGTAGTTATAATACTTTTGAAAAAAATTTCCTTTTTCTATGTCCCCTTTGACCGGCCTCTCTTCCCAGACACTTAGTTATTTGCCTCTTCCCTTTAGCTGGGAAAGAGGGTGCTGGCATACTATGCAGTTTTCATGTTTTCCACAGTAAGTCAGAAAATTCCTTATAGATTTGGCATCCAAGCTATAACTAGGCCATCTGTCTCTAGGAGATGAACCAGAGACAAATTAAGTACAAATTAGTCAAATTTACCAGCCTAAAGAAGGGATGTGCTACTGCAGCTCTTTAAGACAATATATTTCAGCTTCCAGGATAAATTCAAAAGTGCTCTAAGTTACCAAAGTTATCACGACGGTATTGGAACTGCTTTAAATAACGTTTGTTTTTAAACCTGTCATTAAAAGTCTGCATCAAGATGTTTGTTCTATTTGGGGGACCACTAGATCACTCATTTTCGCCTGATTCTCTAGTGTGTAATTTTGGTAGCCTATATCATTTAAGAATAAGAAAAGGCCAGTTCACTTTAAATTGAGACCCAGCATTTGTTTTGGGGAGGAATTGCAAATATGCTTCATCATACCTCTGAGGTAAAGGAGTATGCTAGTGAGAATACCTGGTATTAAGCGAGCCTGCACACACACACACAAATGGACTTCTTTGAAGCTGTGTGTAGTGAAATGAGCAGAAACCTCAACCACATGAATGCTAGTTGTTACATTAATATAGCAAATTCCTTTTTTTTCCTGTCGGCACACACTGCCACTTCCAAGCTTTACTGTGCCTAATGGCCCATTTCCCACTCTAGCAGCCTCCAAGTGTTTTGATTTTTGCTTCCAGTCCGAGCAGCTCCAGCCCTCACCCTCCTGTTCCCTACACAGCAGCTCCTTTAGTGGGACAGTGGCCAGTGGCCCTTAACTGAGCTGCATCAGGGCGAGGCCTGTCCCGGGCGCTTCTGTGGAAATGAGGTGGGTGAGTATCCAGCCCAGTTCGATTGGGTGGCTTAAAGATTACCAATGATTTTGAGGCTTTTCTTTAATAAAAAGAGGTTCCAACTATTATTTCAGCACAAAGATAGTTTTCATCTTTTCTCCGATTAAGACTACTTGGTAAAATCTTTGTGGTTTAGTTGAATGTGCCCTTACTTATCCACGAGGTTTTTTACACCTGTACACTGGTTCCTGCTCTGGCCGTTGGCTGCTAGCTGACAGTAATGAGTACATTTGGTTTAAATGCCTTTTGACTGTGCTGTTAACTGCTGCCATCTGTATACTCCAAAGATCTTTTTGTTTTGGCTTTAGGATTATGTGCTTTTTTCTGTACAGGAGAGCTCTGTATGGTCATGTTTATTTCAAGTTTTGTACACATTACTGTTTTTGCTGCTCTCAGTTCTATGCCCTCACCTTTGGGTGTGATGTGCTGGACCCACGCTGCCCACTGCCCTTTAACTGCACAGCTGAGCTGTCAACCGTGTGACGCTATTGTCTGTCTGGCAGGGACTGAGTGACCTGATGTGGGATTTAGATTTTTTTGGAGGACTGTACAGCTATGAATGTATTTGCCACCAGAACCTCCCAAAGTGAACCTAATCTTAAAACTCTAAGTTGTAAGTATTCTGAAGTTGGAAATATTTAAATGAAATCAGGTAGTGTTGCTTTTTACAGCATAATACACGTATCAAAAAACCCCAAAAACCCCCAAAACCGTGAAAATGAAATTTTTAAAAAACAGCTAAAGTTTTCTCTTACATCCCTGGTTTGGGAATACCACTGAGCATAGGGACTGTGTTTAGCTGGTTCAGATCCATTTCTAGTGCCTGCTGTGAGCCAGGCACTATGCCAGGTGCCAGGCGGGGCTACCATCATGGCTAAGGAGACAATCCTGTGGACTGAACCCCTGAAGGTGAGAAGGTGGGCAGGCACGTGTTCCCATAGAGGCTAACACTATCCTTTTACAGTTAGGAAGTGCTCAGTAAATATTTGCTGAACTGAAAACATGAAACATGTCCTTCGCTAGGAGGAGTTACAAAATCTTTAAAGAGAAGAGAGGTCATTGTCACAAAGCCCTGACCTCTGTTTAGGGAGCTGAGCCTGCTGCTGCCACACGAGGGTCTGAGTAGGACCAGCTGGCAAAGCTCATGGGTGTGTGGAGTGCCATTTGCTCCCAGTGCAGAAACCCCTGGTCCCCAAGTTCAGGGTCAGGGTATGGTTTTTTAACCACAGAGAAGGTGCATGAACACCATGGCTGTCCAGTTTCAACTATCAAAATTGTTGGTCCCAAAGTAATTTGCTCTTCTATGGCAAACAGTGCTAATCTCTGCGTTGCTGACATTTTAGAACTGAAAGAGACATCAGAAACTTTGAATTTAATCCCACTCTTTCACAGAGGAAGCTGAGACCCAAGAGTGGGCTATAACATGAACTTAGTCCCATGTTCTTTCCTTACATCCTACCACACAGTGTGCACTATGGATAGAATAGCCGGCTCCTTGCATATTTCTTAAAATCTTGCCTCTGTGGAGTTTTAAGGAGAAGCATAAATGCTACAATGGTCATGTCTTGCAACATGTCTTACATGTCTTGCAACTTGGTCAACTTGAGCTATGCACATGCTCAGATAGAAGACTGACAACAGTGCAGGGAAACGTGGATGAAAAACCCAAGTAGTGAAAAGTTATATTATACTTGTTCGTGATATAACAAGATCATTTTATTTTGGGGGGATTTTTCTTGGGGGGGCTGGGGTAATCTTCCTAATTTCACTTGCTAACCCTCATAGTAAAATGAGTGAATCTGTAAATCATAAAACAGGTGGTAGAGGGAAGTAGCCCATGAATGTGTTAGGTGGTATTTAAAACAAAGGCTTTGGGGGGGAAGGTGTATGTATAGTTATATATGGAAAGGATGTGATTTACTAGAAGGCTAGGGGAGGTATGTTTTTTGGATGAGAAGGATTAGAAAATTAAGTTATTAAAAAGGGGCAGACTGGGTGTTTCTATTCTGGAGCCTAAACCTGACTTCAGGACTCTGTGTGCCCCAGGTTCGCCCCTTGTGGCCTCCGAATAGTCAATGAAGAGTCTACTAGGAAGTGAGTGCAACAAGCAGTCATAATAGCAAAAGATGATCGAGGCTGCTTCGTTCCTGTACAAGAAATGGGCAGAGGCTGTAAAGACACCCACACCAGGGTATTAGTGCTATAACCGCAGTAAGAAATGCAGAATTCACATAGTTTGATAATAGGTATTTGACAGCGCTCTGTCAAAGGTACCTTTTAGGTACCTTTATATTCTTTGTATACCCAATATAAACTTAATAAATGTTTAAAACTGCTTACATGTGGTTCTTTTTTTCAGTTGGTCATATAAGATGTTTAATTTCTCAGTATGGGAAACACATAACCTAAAGTTAATGTACCGAAACTTGGAAGCTGAGTCTTTCTTAAGTCAGTTTCATTTCAGAGCTATATGAACTCATTTTAGATGGTTCTTAAAAAATACTATCTTTAGCATCCCTAAAACTGCTTTAAATGCCATTTCTTTGAAATTGTGTATATTTTTATATAACATTTAAATTTTTATTGCTTTTGGCTATGTTTGCTTCGCAAAGTTTTTCTTAAGTTTTAATAAGTAAGATGCTTGTACTAGAACATATGATCCAGTATCTCAGAACATCTTAAATTCTACAAAACCAGGGATCTCTCTCTGATTTTGTTTACTGACATTTCCCAAACACCTAGAATACTGCCTGGCTCATGGCAAGTGCTCAACACATATTTGATGAACTAGTAAGTGAATGAATAACCCAAAGAAGCCATTCAAGTAAATACCCTTACTTTGGGAACAGCATCCCAGTTCTTATGGTAGGTCCCAGAGTTTTCAAAACAATTTCAAGTTTTTTTCTTATTTTCTCTGGGATAGTCAAATGTGAAAGAAACACTTTGTTCCTTAAGATTTAATATTCTACTTTAGTTTACAGTCAATAAACAGATTAGGTTCATTTAATGCCAGATAAATAGCAAAATCATTTACTGCCATCTTGGAAAATCCTCTTTCCCTAGTAAGGAGAAATTTCTCCCAAGTATTACATACAAGCTCTATGCTTATGAAACACCCCACAAACACCATACCAGAAATACTCTTAATAAAACAAACACCTCAAAGCCAGGATCTACTTAGTAACGTCTCATAATGATGAATTATATAAGAATACAGATTTATATTCTCATAATGCCCTGGCTAGGCAGGGTATTATCTACTTACTCCCAGTGTTTCTTAGGAAGAAACTCTGTATTTCCTAGACATAAGTACTGCAGACATGGAGATGAGAATGGTGATATTTGTTATAATGCCAGATTCAAGCCTATTCTGGCTTCACGATACCACTATTCCCTGATAACTCTTCAATCAATGGTTAAGTCTAACCAGCCAGTTTGTGTAATCCAGTGATTATGTCTTTTCTTACACTTTTTTTCCAGCACCCGGTGCCTTTGCTTTAAGAAGGCCATGGCTTTCTAGCTTATAATTTCTTTGGAGAAAAATGGCCCCTCTTTGTGTGGGTGCAATAACTTCTCAGTGACAACTTGTCTGATCATGGGGGTGTGGATTTTAGATGGCAGCTTTGGAGATGAGACAGAGTCCTATTTTGCATATATTTTAAAATTAAAACCTTATATTAGTACAGAAATTCATTTTAAAACAGGTGCCACATTATTTGTGCATTTGGAGGCAGCTGTGGTCACCACAACCAAAGTACTTTTTTTCATTTACTTTTTATGGCACCCGTTACAGCTTGTTCTAGTAATGTTTCCTCTCCAGTCTCTTCCACTGACCCACTTCATTTGCCACAGCAATTCTGACTAAAGGCAGGTTAAGGAAGGACAACACTCAGGAAAATGGTGCTACTGATCTTATTTTAAAGTAAGGACTGATATATTTTAATGTTTAGTCATTAGTTAAAAAAATGAGAAAATACCAAGCCTATACATAATGCCAGTAACTTTTAAAATCTTCACACCAAATACAATTAAGAGACTAACACTAGCATTTTAATACGTCTTTAAAGTAACCAGTCCCTTGGCACGTGCCATACAATGAAAGAGTGCCCAATTGTTCTCAAAGGACAAAAACATGCCCAATAGTTAAACGCCAGCGATAAGAAACAAGAGTTGGTTAATGTCTTTGTTCCTTCATCATTTCAATTTAAAAAATCAATGCGAACCCAGTCAGGTTCCTGTCACCTCATGTAAAAACTGAGAGGAGGCCTTAATTTGTGTTCAGTACAAAGTACCATGATGCATATTACATTTAGTGCGATACGTATACTTCAACTTTAATTTTAGAACAGACTTCAGAAAACTTTATCCCCACCAGAAAACACAGCATTTACATAGAAACATAATTATGGTGGTGACAGTGGGATAATAAGATGAAGCTACAAGACAGCAGTCTGTGAAAGTTACCTGACAGAACCGTATCAAACCCAACCCCCTACTCCACTTTTTGGTGTCAGAACTAAAGGAAGAAGGTACATAACATAACACACTTTACAAAATAACACCCAGGCAAAAAGGGGTCTAGGAAAAGCACAGGATACATAAGGGAACCATCTGCAAATGTATCTGTCAGAGAAACACATTTATCAGTGAAAAAAATGCAATTCTCAGTACAGTTACATAGGACAAGTTTTCAAATCATTTGACTCTATCTCTGGTTAACGATCTGTCAGTTATTATTCTTCTCAATTTGAAAATTTTATGACTAATAGACTAAATACCACGTAATAACAATAAAGACAAATTAACTCACTTAAGAAACATGAATTACATTTCCAAGTTCGTCTACACCTATGATTAATTTCAACTTTTGAAAAAAACAACAGGATCTGCCTTGAGAGCACTGTTGTTAACAGCCTGGCTCCCTTGATAGAACTGTGAAGACAGCTTAATTTACTAGCGATCATGATGAAGGCAGAATGTATTCAGCTTTGGATATTAAAGATTAAATAGAAAATACTACCCCTAAATTTGGAATATGTGCTTCTCTTCTCCCCTGCCTGGATACAGGATGGCTACCTTTGTTAAGAGTTGATGTAATTCTAGATAAACTTAGCTTTGAACCATTTCATAGGTAAACCAATGGAAAATTTCCAGCCATATTTAAAGCAGAGAAAACAAATAAGAATTCTCCAGAACAGAAATCTGCCAATCCTACGTCAAGAAGTTCCCTAAATAACCACGTGATCTCCCACAACCGATAAAGGCTGGGCACTGACTTTCTGTACAGCCATCTGCTAGGTGCTGTTAGCTGTCACCCTTCCCAGAGGACCCTCATCCTAGTGTCCTGAGTTACTACTTAGGGTATATCTGAATGTTTTTCATTTGTGAAACCCACTTTGCAGAGGGCCTTTCACTTTTACCTTTAATTAGACGCATGAAGCCCTTCAGAGTAACAGACGTTTCTGAATTAGGGAAAAATCCACTTGCTATCAACAGGTTGCAGCAAATTTGTGGGTCTTTCATTTCCCTAGAAAAACAGGATGTGAAGGAACAGAATAGCAGGAGGAAATCACAGGTGGGAAGGGAAGATGTCGCCAGAGAAGATGAGAAAAGTTCATGCTCTATACTGCATTCATCTGTGAAAAGATAAAATATAGTTTATTATACAGATCTTGTTAAATGCAAATTCATACATTTAACATTGCTTGTCTGTTCAATGTAGTAGGAAGACACTTCCAACAGCAAATAACCATGGAATGATAGCGCTGTCGGCATGTGCTACCATTTCTCCTGGACTAATCGAGACCTTTTATATCCCCCTAAGCTGATTTCTCTGCAGCCTGCTAGCTTAATTCTGTCAATCCATCCAGGATGCATAAAGCTTTTTGCTGTTATGCAAGTCTGGGGCAGAGCAACCAGCAAGTCTGCTCCTGCATACAAAGGTGAGGCAATGCTGGGCTATATGCCAGAGGGAGAGCGGGGTGGAGGAGAAGTGATGGATTTTCCTTAAAGGCCACTCAGCAGGAATAACAAATGAAATGTCCTTTAGGTTGAGCTAGAGGTAGAATCATGAGGACCCCCTTCACCTCCCCATCAGCTGCCTTGAATAGGGTACCTTGTAGGTGGTATGCTCATGCAAAGAACACCTGTCTACTGCCAGGCTGGGTTCTCCCTTTGGACCAGGTGCTCTCGACCAAAGCTGACCCTGTCCCCAGCAGTGTCTGAAGATTTTTGGTTGTCATGACTGGGTGTGGGGATGTGTGAGCTACTGGCATCTAGTGAGCGGGGTCCAGGGATGCTGCTAAACATTGTACAAATGCACAGAACAGCCCTGCACAACAGAGAATTATTCAGCCCAAAATACCAATGGAAATATAGCATTAGACTATAAGCCTCTTGAGAACTGAGTCCCCCCCACCCTTTTTTTTTAATCCTAAGTGCTCAGTAGTGAGTAGTACATAGTGAGCTCTTAGAAAAATTATTTTGGATTAAAAGCACAATGAAGGTTTTGCCTGTTTCAGTGTAGTTGACACTAAAAATGTGTAGTTAGGATGGTAGACTTTGGAGAGGGAGGGAGGGGGAGATAAAGCCTAGGTTCAAATCCTGTCACTATCTCACTAGCTGTGTGATACGGCATATTCACTAACCTCTCTAAATTTCAAGCTCCTCATCTATCCAAAGGAGACTAACAGTAGATAGCAGATAGATTTGTTGAAAGGATTAAATTGGATAGCACATGTAGAATGCCTAGTACCGTAGGTGGAAAACAGTACACAATTAATAAATGCTCCTATTATTATTAGCATCAGCTCTGACCAAAGGCCTCCAGGAGAGGTGACTGGTTTTCATGTCATCCCAGAGGAGAAAGTTTATTGTACAGGAAATCCAGACTAAACAAACACTCGAGTCATGTGCTGAAAACACTGGCGCTCTGTCTCTCTTGCACAATCTCCTCAGGAGTGTGCGGTCCTCCTGCCCCTGAGGCAGCGCAGGCATCCGCCCTGGTGCCACCCGCGTCCAGAGCTGCAACCTCCAGACGTGAAACCAGCCAGCTCTGTGAGAGGTTATTCTATTTCAGAGCAAATGCCCTAATTCCAAGAGTGGATGCTGAATGGAAACCATGGCCCAGGCTGAAGACAGACAGCCTGAGACAGACAAGGTGGAGTCTACCCAATTTGAAGACGAATCCAACTTTTATTCATCTAATCAGTGCTGTGCCTGTATTATGGCCTCTTTTAACTCTGTAAGTCCTCTATGGCTTTAATCTGGAGGGGTGTGTGTGTGTGTGTGTGTGTGTGTGTAAAACAGATTTATTTTATTCTACAAATGAAATGAATGAAATCATCTGGAATGGGATGGGATGGCTATAGGGGACATTTAGAGACCCAAAGCCATTTCCAGCATTTATTTAGCGTGTTTAAAATGCTCTCACAGTGTCACTCTGAGAGCACAGAGAAAGCAATCACACTGCTCGCACAGATGGTGGAAACTAATCCATCTTATTTTCTCAAGGTCACAGGAGATAATGGTGATGAAAGAGTTAGAACTCTAATGTCCAACCCCAAGCACAGGCCTCTCACCCAAAGGCCACTCAGCCTTTGTAATAACACACCAGAATAAAACATACTGAGTCTTGTGCAAACAGCTGCTCTAGGTGCATGTTTTGAATGAAGCAAAGGCCAGCTTGTCGTGGGAGGCATTCCAGGACAGTGGACAAGAGCAGGCCTGTGGATTCAAATATCCGTTCCATCACTTACTGCCTGATCTTAGTCAAGTTACCAAATTTGGGGGGTGCTCTTTTTTCACACCTGTAAAAATGGGAATAACAATAATACCTAACTCAGAAGGTTTTGGGGGGACTGAATAAGCTCCTACCACCTATGGAGTGCCTGGTATACAGTAAGTGCTTAATGAGTATCACCTATTACTGGTGGTGATCATGATGATGAGGTAACTTGCTCAGGAACAACAAAGGAGGTGTAAAAGGAAAACAGCCTGTTTTTTGGTTCCATCAACCTGTCTTACGTTCGGAATGGGCTTTATATTCATGCCATTGTTGCGTCGGGCTTATGAAGCACTTTAAAGCAGAGCTGGGGGGACACTAACAGAGGATGTGACCTTACACGTGTGAGGTTCATTTTACACCTGTCAACAGGAAGAGAACTATTTTGCTATTTCACTATCTAAGCACTTTTCTAAATGACTTTTTTCATCCTCAGCAATCAGGAAGGCTGAAGAAAGGGCAGCCTGAGGATTTTAGCCCGTGCGCTACGGTGAGGGGAAAAGGAGGGGGAAAAGTTACACACCAGGGACTGAGCTGTAAGCAGACATCACTGATGTTTTTACACGCACTCCTGGAGCAGATGGGCCCGTGGCCTCGAATGTGAGAGGCGCAGACCCTCTCCCCACCTCTCCTGTCCAATCCCCCTGCTCCCTCATGACTCATCATCTCATCTGTGCCTCGTACGGAGATGAAAAAAGGCCAGTAATGACACAAAGAGGATTTTTTAAAGCATGAAACAATTTTTTCAAAATGAACTGAAATAGCTTCATGTGGAAAAGAGCTGAAAATTAAACAGCATCAGCAAAATTCCAGCCAGCCAAAAAAATCTTTAAGAGAAAGGACTTCAGGCTGAAAAGCAAACAATACTATTTGATATACTGGAAAACACCCTCCCAAATGAAGATGCACTCTTACCATGACACTCATTAACTGTTTCACTCCAGGAACATTTTACTCTGGGCAAGCCCCTCACGGCTCCAGGTGCCAGCAGCACAAATCAGTTCTCAGAGCAGGTGAAATGGTTTCATTGCTGCCAGCTAAGTCCCTATAATTACTGTAATCATGAAGCATTAGTCCCCTCCTTTCCTAAAAACAACAGTCCTTCAGACACAGCACTGAAATAACAGGCCAAAGGAAAACATTTTCTTATCAGAGAAACCTTAGTTCCCTAATTTTATGAAATTTCTTCATGGACAACTTCAAAGGGCAGATGGAGAGCTTTTAAATATTTGAAATGTCACTCATTTTTTGGAAGGTACTGAATGCCAGGTATAAAAACCCAGGTGATAACGTAGCTTGTTTGGGCTCAGCAGACTCCAGCTTGTCACGGCCAATTGAAAATTCACCCAGCTCGGCGCTGCAAGGGGCTCCTCCTGATATTTTGCAGATGGGCCCCGGGTTTGCCAGGATGCCCTCCCTGCCTCGGACAGTGCATGCTCAGCAGGAGCTGAGAACATCTGTGCGCGGTACTCACCATGCTGTCGAATTCCACAGAGCCCACAATCCGAGACACCTCGTCAAACTCCTCAGGAGACATGGGGAGAAGGTTGTCTGTGGTCTGAAGTCGAGAAGGGTGACTAAAATGGGGAGAAATGAAAAGGAAATGTTAACACCTAGATTATGAAAGCAGTGGCATAAATTACACATTTCACCTAGTAAGTACACATATAAAACACATTTTAAAAAGTACAGATCACGAGAGGTTCCTGTCCCCAGCCCAGCCCCTCAGGAAATGTATTGGACTCTAGAGATGTGAGTGAGAAAGAGCCAGACTGGAACCTGCGCCGCTTGTGCCTGGTTAAGTGTGGGTGTGAGCGTGTGCAGCGTGTCACCCTGAGATGCCAATGCCTCGGCTCACCCTGGCCGAGAAGCACCAGAGAAACATCTGGGGAGTCCCTCATCCCTACCTTGAGGTGTGTATGCAGATAAAGCTGCTCCAGGGTGTTTTTACATGAAGACTACATCCATTCACCCCCAAGACAGTGAGTGCTGCAGGCCAAATTACTGACAATGACTTTTCCAAATTTTTTTCTACCTTTTATAAAATGAAACAACAAAATAAAAGCAAGCGGAAAAAATGTATCTCAATCATTACTTTGGCCTTTTCTAGATTGAAAAGAACTATTTTCCCACTCTGATCAATTTTTGTTCATTTTATTCACACTTTTTCAAAGTATCAGTTTGGGGGGAATTTATATACCTTAAATACAACTTCGGGGGTTTTTTTTTGTTATTATTATTATTTTATATAAAGGCAGTAAAATGCTGACAGGCACTGACACCAGGATCTCTAATTAGGATCTTTCCAACAGGTCCAACTGTGATGGCGGTGGCAGCAATTACAATGGAAAAGCAAAGTACAAGCATCTTCAACAGGCCCCAGCCAGGCGCAGGGCTGGCCTGAGGCTTTAAACATGGCACTCTTCTGTGTTCACTTACACTTCAGACACAGAAATCAACTCAGTCTTGATGTATCCAGTTCCTTTAGGGCCATCAAGTTCCATTGGTTCTGCTGCTGGAAGCAAACACATCGGGTACATTTTCTGTTAGCAAAAATCACACAAGAACATTTGGAACATTTGATCAAAATGTTACTATTTTTCTTGATAGTGGGGTTAGAGTCCGAAACTTTAAGGGGGTATGCCCTCCCTGGCTGAGTCACCTGAAATCCTGGTGGGAATGTGGAAACAACTGGAAGAAGAGGGGAGGAGAGTTCAGTACAGGGGTCAACCTAAGTGGTTTCTCTTCCTGAGGCTTGAAACCCTACAGAAGTCGTATCTGGTTCTGTGGTCCTAGCCTGGCTGCTTAACATACACAGCTGGCCAGGCAAGCTGCAGCCGGCTTCTCCCCCAGAGTAACTGTCTAATACTGAGGTTTCTGATTCTGAAAGATAATTGGCTGTGTTGGCATGTTCTAAACCAGATTAGTCTAAACCTGAACTTTCTCAAATGCAATTCAGTGAAGACAGAGAAGCAGGAAACCTGTGTTCTAAGCCTAGGTCTGCTCTTAACAATAATCACTGTTAACAATATGATCTAATAATGTACTGGGTCACTCGACATAAACTATGGTACTTCTCCTGGGCCTCAGCTACCTCAATTTTAACAGGAGCAGGCTGGCATAAATCAGTTGGCCACAGCAGTCCTACCCTTTACTCCCTTCCATGTGGAAAGACCAGGAATGAACTTTTCCAACACCTCTAAAATAAGAAATCATTTACTCATTTCTTACTGGATATTTCCAGCGAAATAATGCATTAGGTTTCAACTGTGCTGCGCTTATGCCATTTTTTCCAAAGCCTGCTTTTACCAGTTCTAAAGAAAGTGGTGGTTTGATGACACGGCACGGGTGGGTTTGTGCGGGCACCCTGCACCGACAGGAAGGCACGGCACAGAGGTGACTGAACCCTGTCTCTAGCAAACCTTTGGACGATGATGAGATGAGAACACAATCACCACTTACCTTCCTTGGGCCTGGAGTAATACTTTCCAAAGGCATGGTCTTTATCAATATTTGGATACAGATACTTCAGGGGATTCTCTGGAATATTTTCAGCAGCCATGACTTTGTAATTGCGAATAATATCAGGGAAAGTAACTGCGGAAAGTTCTTTCTTTGTGTAGGGTTCAACCGCATGGAAGTAAGGTTCTAAAAAGAAGAAAAGCAAAGTGAGTCCCAATGGAATATCCCAAACAACAGAGGAAAAAAACAGAACACAGCAGAGTTTATAAATTTGAGAGAAATGGACAAGATCTAATCACAATCTAGGAGTTTCAGCACAGACAGTACACTGATTTGCTTTTAAATAAATTATAATACTTTCTCAAAAACAGGGAAAATAACAGCAGTCATTACTATCAATAACACTGTATTTGTTATTTGCTTACATTTGTAAATACAGCCAAAAGAAGTCTGTTACACATCTTTAAAGGTGTCTTCAATGATGTGTCGCCCACAGACAGATAACTAACTACTAATTGAGTCATCTTGGCTCAAGCCATAGATAAAGTTACTAAAAGGTAAGCTCACTTTCTGTTTGTTTTTCTTTACATACTGAAAAGTATAACTTTTTATTAAAATAAACAATGATAACACATGGAAAACAACTTTAAAACAAATAAAAGATCCTATTTGCTGTTTTCTCTCTAATCGCTACTATAAGAAACAAGTCTGTCACTCCTGGTCTCATTCCCTGACTCATTCTAATCATGCTCCTCTGGTTGATCCGGGACCTCACTTTTCGGTGTACACCCCCCAAAGGCCACTGTGGAAGAGCCCTGGGCGCTCTGCCCCAGGACCTCAAGCCGCGCTGGCATCCTACAGCTTTGTAGCTGGCAGTGCTTACACGTTCAGGTTGCCATTGGTTTTTTTCATCTTCGCCTGGAAAGAGCTACCAGAAGTGAAGGCGAAAAGGGCAGTCTCTAGCACCTACGGTCTACACTGGGCTCTAATCCCAGCTCTCCTCTTGGTTTGTTGTGTTTTTTACCAAAAGAAAACAATAAACAGAACAAAAAAGTATCCCATCTCTTTGCATCTTCCCAATGAAAGCACGAACTTCACTGGAACATCAGTATTTCCTCCAGTCCTTCAAACAAGGCAAACTACAAGCAGCACTGAAGAGTAATCAGCTTGTCTCTATCATTCTCCCATCTCTGCTGTTCAGTCTTGTCCCCTAAAACAGGTATTTTTTAAGTCATGGATTCACTTGGTTGAACAGAAACCCAAGATATAACAAAGATAAACTTGCGTCTGCTCTGTTTGACGGCAGGTGGAGGGGTGCAGCCAGGCCACAAGACCCCTCTCAGAAAGCCTGCCCACATCTATGCCCTTCCCTGCGCCTTTCCCCTAGTGAAGCTGGAAGCCTGCGCCTGTGAAAATGGTTTCCTGCCAAGAACTGGCTGTCAGGCATACGGATTCACATCTTAAGTCTACAGATAACAAACCAGAAAAAAGAATTTGGCCTTGTCATTTAAAACCCATCATCTGCACAATATGTTCCAGGCAATGAATCACAAATATTCAGGGTGATGGATTAAATCCTATCTGAGAAGCTCAGCTAGGGGTAAGTATAGGATCTGTGATTTTATGTCAAAAGCTCCTTATTTGTAAGAGCTGATTTGCAGTGAAAGGACTTTTGGGGGGGGTGCAGGCGCCTTCGCTTACCGCCTCCGTTTTGGGGCCGCTCCACCCACGTGAATGTGATGGCCCCTTCCCGACAGCTCTCACTGAAACGCAACAGGAAAGTCCCCGGCTGCTGGTCCTTCAGCAGAGCGCGTTCCCGCTCCTTGCTGATGAAGCCCACAATGCACCTGCGTGGGAAAGGGATGCACGGAGGTATTTTGAGGTCAGTCATGGTTTTAACTTTCATGATAACTTTCAAATCAAGATCACTGGAACCTGACAGCAGGACACAGGATAAAAATGATAGACTATTTTAGATACTTTAAAATCTATTTAATTCACACTTCAGGAAGGATTTCACTTATATGTGCTGAAGTCCAAAAGAGATCATTAACATGGTACCAGCAGGATGCTATAGATGATCAATAAATACTTGCTGGACGAGTGAGCCTTTTATTTTGGCTGGATGATTTTGAAGGCCAAGAAAATGTCTGAATTTATGCATCTTTTACACTGGAGAAGGTGGCTCAGACAATGCATTTTCATATTCCAGCACTTCTGATCAACTTAAAGCCTTTGCTGAAGTATCAGCTGACTAGGGGAGTAAGTTAGAAACAATTCACTGAAGTAAAAAAGTGTTTTTTTCCTTCCTTGGGGAAATGGGGTAGGTGCTCAGGAAATCTTTGTAGGATGAATGTATGAATAAATGGCATTCAGAGTATAAATTTAATCTCATGAGACTCCTCTACAGTGAAACCCTGAGGGGACACCATCATTTCTATGAGATGCACACATCTGGGCAATATGAAGTCTGCCTGGGTCAGGCCTGTGTCAGCCATGCAATAAGGGGAGCATGTGCTGAAAGTACGTTTCAACTTTACATTGTCAGAGGCCCTTACCCATCATTCCAGAGAGAAAGCAGGTGTTTCTTAATGAGTTCAAGGATGCTTTCAATCCAAAGCCAGAAAGGAAAATTTTTGTCATTTATATTTTCCTGCAAGTAAACAAGTACACACATTAGGAACAAGGAAATCCAAAATACTGGTGACTTACCATGCCTCCTCCCACCAGTGGATTTTAATTTGCAAAGACTGCCCGGCTGCCAAAGCTAGCACTGTGCTATACAAAACAACACCCCCACTCCCTCTTGGCACCCTGGCACCAAGCTCTCCATTTCCTGGGCTGCCTTCGCTTCCCTCTCTGAACAGTAGCGAACCAGCCAGGGAATGACCTCCAGGGAGAATCACAGAACAAAAGCTGCCCTCTCACTAGTACAATCCAGTAGCAAAAACTCGTCAGCACTGTCTGTTGACTTCAGCGGGGTCTAATTATTCCTTCCAACTGGTTCCTCTGCTTGAGTTGGCTGGGGGAACTCATCTGGCCGCCAAGCCATCTACACCGGCACAGAGAACTCATTTCTCATACACGGGGCTAAAATGCTGCCAAAGGGGGCCCATGTGAGCAAACAGAAGACTCATTTCGGATGTGAAAGAATGTTATCACCCAGGCAGGCGCTTCCTGTCAGACTCACACTGGGAGCCCAGCCTTCTGTGCTCAAGGAAAGTAAACAAAACGTGCCCTAGGGGTTCCATGGGTGAGAGGAACAAGCCAAAATAAGCACACAGTTAGGAACCACCACAGTGAGAAATAATACGACAACCTCAGAAGAAAGTAAGGACTCAGAGAGTAAAAAACTCAGACAGTACCCACCTTACAGAACCTCGTCCATGGAATAAGACCTTCAGGGCCAGCATTAGGACCTAAACAAATTAAAATAAGCCTTTTCAAGAAACAGAAATCAATTCTGAAGCTTTGACTGGACTACTGGCTCGGCTCTTGTGTTTGTTCTCAAAGAAAGGAGCCAGCACCCAACAAAGGAAGGTTGTATGTATATGGATGATATTCTCAGATACACTAATGCTAATTAACTGCACTTTCTGCAGAAGCCTCCATTTGGTCTCTCCCTGTGCAGTACCCTCTCCCTCGACCTCCCTCTCCTCCTTCAATGGGACTCCTCTCCTGGCCCTAAAGAGTTGTTTTTGTTGTTTAATTCAAACTAAGATCAAAATCATCCTACATGCTACACCTAACAAACGCTTGACTTTATAAGCTTATTTTACATGTTAATTAGGCATTTCCCTCACCCCTTCTCCAAACAGGTCGTGTCTCAGGGATGTTGATGCAAATCAGAAGTCAAGCAAGAAAAGAGAGATGGGAAAGAAGTCTTGGGGTTATTAGCTACACAAATGAAAGCAGCCCAGGTCATCAGAGGTGGTGAGTCCATCATCTCTCCCCAAAGAGAACCACAAATAAGCCATTACAGACCAAAAAAAAAAAATCTTTCTTAATTCTCCCCAAATAAGGAGATGAAATACGGTGATTTCTTCTTTTTACTAAACAGCACAAGAACTCCACAGTGGCAGCTACATGGTCAAGAGAAGGTGGAACTGCTGGGAGCCTTTTGGTTAGGGAGAGCCTACTGGTGTTTGCAGTGCGTGCCGTGCTGCTGTGCAAAGAGCAAGTCTGAAAAAATGCTCCCTGTGAACTTTTAAAGAAATAGTATAGATACTCCTTCCCCTTCACTGAAGATCTGACTTTGAGACTAGTAGGTCTTTGATTTGCATAAGGTGGAAAACTAATCAATCCATGGTATTAGCTACTCAAAGGGAATTATCTACTGAGGCCGGGACCCTGCCCAGTCAGACAAAACTGTTAGTCAAGCGGTGTCCTGATGTGGACAGTCTCCTACCTGGGCCACCTGAGGCAAGAGCCCTGGCTGTGTGCTGTGCCGTGGGGGGGCTCCAGGACCTTATTCTTACCATGTTGGGGACTTACATTTTTCTCTCCAAGGTTAAAAAGACTTTACCTTTCTCATCAAGGAACTTATTTTAGCCACAATATATGTGCATGATGCAAAAATCTTTCTCTTAGGAACCCTGCTCAGAGGTATTGAGATAATTAGAAATGATTCGTTTAAATCTTTTATCAGGTCTATATCTCTTTCCAAGGTGAAGTATGATGCCCACTTAGCTATAACAGGCTGCAGCTGGAAAAACCAACAGAGTTTAATATTATCTTCCTTGAACAAAACAGAGAGCAAAGAGGGGAAATGAGTAAGTAGAGGCATTTCCATGAATTTCTGTTTTTATAGACATAGAAAGTGAACATGTTCATACCAAGCAGTTTCTCTCCCAGCATGCTGAGCTGGTCCACGTTGAGGCCTCTCTTGGTGACAGAAGAAAACTGCCAACTCAGCACCTCTGAAAGCTGGGACCATCGTGCACAAGGTGGGTTCAGAAAGAAGGACAGATTCTAGAGAGAAGACACCCAAAAGTGAATGGCTCCTGAAGAACCACCGGTCACAACCTAGGCACTAAAACAGGGACCTGTTCCAAAGCTCAGTTCCAGTTTCTGCGCTACACAGACATCTTCCTGGTTGACAAGAGAAATATGGTCGATTCTCATTATTTGAAGATTCGTATCTGTGAATTCATCTACTCCCTAAAATTTATTGTCACTCCAAAACCAATACTCTTACTCATGGCACTTCCGCACACATTCGCTCCTGCACAAAACAGTGAAAAATTTGAGTTGCCCAACATGCATGTTTCCAGTTGAGGTCAAACTAAGCAGCCCTCTGCCTTCGTTTTTCATCTCTCATAGGATAAACCAGTGTCCTTTTTGAGGTCTATTTACATAGTGCCATTGTTCTGCATTTTTGTGCTGTTTTGTTGGTGGTTTCATTATTTAAAATGGACCCAAGTGTAGAAGTGCTGTCCAACATCCTTAGGGCCATGATGTGCCTTACGATAAGCCTTAGATGAGCTAGATAAGCTGTGTTCCGGCATGAGCTATGGTGCTGCTGGTTATGAGTTTGATGTTAATGAACCAACAAATACATCAGATAAGGTATCTTTAAATAGACCCTCAGCTCACATAAACAAGGTTATATATTAACTGGTTGCCAGAAGATTGTGACCAGAGGTTTGCAGGAACCTAACCCTATTTAGGGTTCAGTATTTGCTAAACCAGTGTTCACAGCAACTAAGGGACTTGAATACAGTGAATAATGAGAATCAGTTATAATTAACAATGGGGAGCAAGTATACTCTAAAAGTGAGCACACTTGTTTAGTAGGTGCATGCGTCTTAAAGAAATAACAATAAGGGCCTCTTCCACAAAAAAAGCTATATTAAATCATCAATCGCCTATGCTTATTCACACAGGAGGAAAATCACAATTCTCATATAAAACACACACATGCTTCACTTTTACAGAATTACTCCAGATCCTTAGCAATGCCACTGAGTTATGTCACTTGTCCCTCAGCATCAGGCCCTAAGGGGCTCTACTGGATATGCAGAAGCTAGAGCATGGGGTCATTGGTTCCCCTTGAATGAAAGTAGATGTGTTTTCCATACCCTGGGTTCTGTCACCAGCATGTTGTACCAGAGGATAGAGGCCCAACCACTCGGAAGCTGGCTGACATTGGAGATCACCACGACAGGCAGAGAGGTTGTCTAAAAGATGACAAAGACATTGAAATCATCTGGATCACAGAAATATCACCTTCAGACCACTGTGTAACCTCAAAACTAAGTGAGGGATTACTTGTAAACTTGTATATATTTATATTTGAAGATTAAAAATGCAAAGTTATGTTCTTTTGTTCATAGTTTAATTTTTTACCAAGGTTATAATTTTTTTTAAAATTGATTTTAGAGAGCAAGGGAGAGGGAAAGAGAGAGAGAGAAACATCGATCGGTCACCTCTTCCACGCACCCCAATCACAGAGTGAACCCACAACCTAGGTGTGTGCCCTGACAGGGAATTGAACCCGCAACCCTTCAGCACAGGACGACGCTCCAACCTACTGAACCACACAGGCCAGGGCTTAATTTGTTTTTGATGTATCTTTCAGTTAAGAAATAAGTCTCAATGCTTCATATAAAAACTAACATAGGATAGCTCAACCAAAACAATCAGCTTATAGAATCTGAAGGTTAATTCAATTACCTAGCTTCATGAATCATTAAATTAAGAGAGTATTAACTGGAAAAGATCATTTTTTTTTAGCAATTAGGTAAACAGCTCTAAAATGAAAATTGAGAAATAAAAATACATGTAACAGTTAAAAGTAAAAATAAATAGTTTTACACATCTGGATCATGTAAGTGTTACCTCAAGGTCAATGACCAAACCAGGCTGGCACAACTGGGTTTCAAAACTGAGGGAATGAAGCTCTTCAGTAACGATGAGAGGGCCCTTGAAAGAGAAAAGTGGGGGAGGGAAAAGAACAAAGTGATTTATTCATGGATCCTGCAACTTTCAAGAGTCTAATAAGCACTACAACAGGCTGCAGAAAGCCTGAGCCCAACTAGCTGCAATTCAGAAAAAGACTCCAATTTTCAAAAATCTATCCCAGATTTGATTATTGCAAATATCTCAGTGTTCTCTCAAAAATAAGAGTTCTGAAATTATGGCAAGGATTACAGATTAGGGAAAGAAATGTCAAGAGGGAAACAGCAACTTCTAATGGGTTTATTTGTGTGACCTAAGGCTTTCTGGCCCTCAGCTCCACTCTGCCACCACCTGGTGTGGGCTGCACACCTCCCACAGATGGGGGTTGGGCAATGTATTATCTACTGGAAGGGCTGATTTGCATAAGCCTGGAAGGTCATACAGTGCCTTGATTTGGGTAGAAATGTTATAGTTTTCAAAGTGCCTTTCTACATATTATCTCAAGTGAGCATATGTATGGTAAATGGGAATGAACACGGGCCTCTTCCCATGCTCTAGCTCCCCCTCTGTGGGAAATATAGTGAAGGCCATCAGTAACCAGACTGTGAGACCTTGGGAGCCTAGCCAGCTCCTTAGTCAGGAAAACAGCATTTTGATTTCACACAGCTTTCGCATGTCCCTTCCTCCTGCATGCCCTGTTTTTCTGTACTCTGTAAAACCTTGTGCTAGGAAAGTCTAGGTGGTAGAGAAACAAAAGCACTGGCCAGTTGCCCCCAGTGCAGCCCATCCACAGGCCGGGTAGGACTTAGGGGTTCAACTTCACCAGTGGCAGCCAGTGTGGCAATAAACTTCACCAGCTGGCCACCACCAGTGTGATGTAAGTCCTAATAAACCCATGTCTTTCACAGCCAGTCCTCTGGGTTATTTCCTTGGGACTCCAAGTACAATATGCTGAGGTTTTCTGGGACCTCACAACTTAGAACCAGAAAGGAGCAGCTGCTACTCCTGCTTACAGAAGAGGAAACCAAATGAGTCACAAAAATAGTAAAGGTCAAAAACAGGAGCACACAGTGGTATGTCTGCACCGCCCAGGCCAGTGCCCGTCCCACTGTTCCCCACGCCCTCTACAGGTTGTGGTGAGGAAGGATGGCACGCTGTGCAGCCACAAGGAGGACAACATTGCAAACCAAGACTACTGGATGCTATATTTTGTCCCTGCCCGTAGTTCACAGACATAACTCCTCAAGGATCTGGCTCTAAAAAGGAAACTGCCAGAAAGACGATGCCCCTGAATAGGGAATGTAAGGGCAGGAAAACCCTCTCGGCACACTTGGTTTTCCGCAATGGCAGTCATAAAAAGTGGCCTCTAGTTCCAGTTCTGACAGTGACCCTCTGCACCCTTAGCTAATCCTGCAGACTTCCTGTGATTCAATGTCTCTGCCTGTAAAATGTGAGTAACACAGACAGTCACCATACCCGCTCCACAGGGCTGTCTGTGAGGGTCCAGTCCATTTGTGTGCAAAATTGTTGGAAAACCATAAAGCACAAATGCAGTGTTTTTACTGTTATTACAAATACACCAAGTCCCCACACACATTCACTGCTCTTTCCTACTGGGTCCGAGCACCTGTGTGAGGTCTCCCCGGACACCAGGGTACTTAGCCAACCTCGCTGGACAAGCCTGCTGATTAGAGACAGACTCACCTCATTGGTTCTGTTGCCAGCATTCTTCTGTTCCTTCAGTTGCTAGAAAACAAGAAACCACCTCAGTAAACAACACAATCTAAGTAGCTATTTTCATTTATAAATCAAACCAAAGTTGGGACTTAGAAAGAATGAAGGACATGAAATTATTTTCAGAATGCAGAACAAACAAAGAAATGACCCTTGTGTGGGTTCCTTTCCCCAGCAGCCTGACATCATGCCAACACCTTGGTATTTAGAAGGATCCCAGAAAACTGCATCTCTCGCCCTTCACCTGTGCAGACTTTTCCTGAATGGTCCCCCATCTCCTTCCTTAGCTGTTCCATGTTCCCCAAGCTCAGGACACAGCTTCTCCTATTCCTCACCTTCCCCTGGCAGTCTCCCAGGCTAGACCCAGCAAGTCCAGGCCCAACTAAGATTGTCCTCGAAAGGACTTCAATCTTTGAGTTTTCAAAGGAGCAATTTAGAGTCCTGAGAGCAGCTCTGGATACCCTCAGACTCCTGAGTTTGGACTGAGGCTCTTACACAAGGTCTGGCTTCCTGGCCGAGTATGCTGGTTCACAGGATGGTGGCCAGAGAAAGGCTGCCTTGAACCTCCCTGCAGGCTCCGGACCGGGGAGCACACAGGGCTCAGCACCAACACATCCTCACACCTCACATCTAGGATTCTCAGGGAGGCAGGCAAGGCACTGTGTGCCTCAACCCCTTGCTGACTGTCTGCTGCCTGGTGGCATGGGCCCCAATCCCTTGCAGACAAAGCGGTAGCCACAGCAGTTGTGCAAGACCACCAGGAAGGAGGCTGTGAAGGGTCTGAGGAAAGACCCTGGGGCCTGCCAAACTTGGATGGGGGAGAAGGAACAGTCAGGATGTGGGAACAATATTAACCCTTGAGAAAACTGCAAGTCTCGAGTGAGTGATCACCGAGGCGGTGGAGGCACCAAGTGCAGATAATTTATGTGGGCACAGGTTTGTGGAATACTTTACTGAGATCACCGCACCCCAAATAAAGTATCTCTGGGAGAGAAACTGCAGAAAACAGAGTGAACAGTCCTTGGATAAGGAGGAACTGAGATTCCTCCTGCTGGTGAAGTCCAGCCACAGACGGTGACAGGCTCCTCCCGGGGGCCCTCCGTATCCCACAGTGCGCAAGTGCCACTCTATCTTCAGAAGTCCTCACAGACCAGATGCAACGTGAAAGGGGAAAACTGGTCTCCCTACCAGGTGTCGAAATTCCGCCGCCAGACTTCCATTGGTGGACTCCTCCATGTTCATCACTTTTGTGTGTGTGCCCAAAATATTGAATTTTCTGAATCTAAACAAAAGAGGGTAGAAATACTTAAAAGGCTTGGAACTATTAAAAAAGCAAAGAAGATAGTAAAATATAGTGCAAAGTACTTTACATACCCTTTCACTGTATTTCTCTCATTCACATCTCTGCAAAAAAAACACACATGTATCTATAAAATCATATGTATGCATTTGAATTTTGAAATAAGCTTTAACAAAAAAATAAAAGCATATGTATAAATAAAAGGTCGATAAAAAAATAAAGCTGTACCTGTGGGTTTTATGCCTTTCATTCCCTCACTCACAACGCCAGCTCTGCCAAGTATCCCTGGGTGATAATTATCTAGGCCTCACATTTCCCATTTGTACAACATGCTAACAGCACCAACCATACAGGATACTGTGACAAGTAAACTCATTAATGGGTAAAACGAGTTCATAGCACACCCTTACTGAATGTAAGCTTCAGTTGTCACTACTTATTGAGCAACTACTTCATGCGAGGCACTGTGCCAAGCACTGAGGACTCAGCCAAGAGCCCTGCTGGACTGTTACAAAACCAAGAGGACCTTCTGGGGTGACAGCTTAATCCTTATTTTTATTCTTTATTATTTTTGATGCTTTCATGAACTTAACAAAATAGTTATTTATTTGGGAGAATTGTCAAGTTTAAGTTTTGAATCTGAGGTTAAAATCTTGAGAAACCGTGCATCTTGTATAAATACAGTGATTACTATGTCACGTTCTAGACAGATAAAGTATCTGTCAGGTGTAGGCGCAGATTAGAAATCTCCAGTGCTCATAGTGAAATGACTTAGCTTCCTTTCCCATCTCAACTAGACGTTCAACGTTTTTGTGAATGACGACCACCATTAGCTATGAGACTGACCCATCAACAGAAAATAAAAGGAACAGTATGATACAAATTTGCCTTGTCAAAACTAAAAAGAAAAGCCAGGGCTGGAACAGTGAGAAAAGAGAAAAGAGCACACACTGAAAGAGAGACTGAGCTAAAGCGGAGTGTAGTAAACTGCAACAGCCACAGAATCTCCGTGGCTCTTCCTTCAAGACAGCATGTATTTTCCTTGTCCCCTGAATCTCAGGTGACTTTGACTTGCTTTTACCAAGGGAATAGATGGAAGTGGTGCTGTACAAGTTCCAAGACTAGCTGGGCAGGCCTAGCGTGCTGCTGCTCTTACCCGCTCAGAAGCGGTCACCATGTGAGAAAGCCCAGGCTCTCAGGCGCCTGCCGAAGGGCCCAGTTGTCCAGGCTGGACCTGACACGTAATGAGGCCACATCGGACCACCCAGCAACAACCAAGCCAGCCCAGACCAGAAGGACCACCTATAACCCTCAGGAAAACATGATACATTGTAAGTTTTTGAGTTTTAAGTCACTAAATTTGGGGGCAATTTTTTATGCAGCAAAAGCTGATACCCAGGGAAAACAAAGATGATGGGGGGAAAGATAAAAGGCACAAACTGTGCTATAAGGAAGAATATTGTTAAAGGAGTGGAAAGAGACAAAAAGCCAGAGGAAAATTATTTGGATTATCAAAAATGGTTTCAAAACTTACAAAACCAGTGTGTTATACACACCAACAAAAGCATTACATATATCCAGGACGAGGGGAAGGCATCTTGTGCCTTAATGTAAGTGGCTAGGTCAGTGCTATTCCAGGGACTAAGGGCAAAATGGGACAGGCCTGCTCCATTTACACCCCTGGGAGAGATCCTGCCCATTCCTGAGTCCCTACTGCCCACAAGAGACAAGGGTGAATCCAGCAGAGTCCATAGAGGCCTCTCAAAATTATGTCAACTTCATTCCAAAAACAATGCCATGATTGACTGTGGAACTGAGGCAGCCTAGGGGATCTGCAGCCTCCTGTTTGACCAAGGAGGTGGGGTGGTGCTTTGACATTAGCTCCTTACAAGCTCATATGCATAAAACACACTCATTCTTTAGTTTCTGTATAGTCTAAAAAGGCAGGGCTTGTTAATACCAGTTCTAGGGAAGCACCCAGGATCCAGAACAGGAGCAACCAATTAAAATCTGCTGGGATCCCTTACAAATGGCCTGGTGCTTCGGTCTGTGTTTGGTTAACAAAACCAGCATTTCAATAGTACATGCATCTTAGATAATATTAAAGATTTCTTACTTATCAAATAAAACTTTGACTTTCAAATTATAATTCAGCTCTTGCAATTTCACCAACAGCCTGGAAAGAAAAATAAAAGTCATTATTACTTTAAAAAAACTATCGATTACAATTTATTATGCCAATTCCCTATCAATAAACATTTCAATAACCCCCACCTTCTCCAGTTTTTGGTTATTACAAACAAATGGAACTGACATCCTTATATGTCTACTTGGATTTTTGAAAAGTATATTTGTAGGAAAAATTTCCAGCTGTGTAACTGCAGGGGCAAAACTGTCGCATTAAACTGTGATAGAGAGCAGCACTGAATACAGTCCCACCAAATGTTACTGAAGGTACCTGTTTCCTACACAGCCTTGCCCACACTGGGTTTTACCAAACCCCAATTTGATAAATTTTGGGCCAATTATATGGGTAAAATATAGGATACATTACTTTTACTAAAACTTGTATCTAATATTTGTCCTGTTTGGAGAAAATAAGAACTATCACTCATAATCAGGAATATGAGGATCTCATCTATAATCATTCCGGGGCCATGTGGACAATGGAAACTAGGAGTCCTGGGCTGAGACTCAGGCATGCCTCTTCTACTTAGCTGGAGGCCTTGGGAAGGAGCCCCTTAAGCCTCTGCTCTGCTCCGTTTAGTGGAACAGGTGCATGGGATTAAGGGGATTAGATTTCTGGTGCCCTTTCCAAGGCTGTGAGGGCTAGGACCCGAGGGTGCTGGAGTGTGGTGCTCTAAAACTGGGGCCACAAAGCAGCATCTACGGACCTAACTGAGCTGCATCCCAGAAAGTGGGACTAGGGCCAAATTGGAAGACAAATGCCGCTCTTCAGAGTCCAGCTGCTCACTGGTGCAGGAGCAGTTAAACGAATGCAGCCATTCAACAGGAGGTAAAACCACGTGTTCTCACGTGGAAACATTTCTAGTTTATCAAGGAGAAAAATAGGCTGCAAGACAACATAACTAGCAGAATCCTGGTTCTTAAAAATAAACTATTGCATGTCATGTACATTTGTGTGTGTGTATAAACACACACATGTATTAATTCACATGCAGACGTGGACAGAACTCGAGGAGGACTGACACCAGTCGTTTACCACGGTTGTCTACAGATACTTAGATCACAGATAACAGAAAACCTGAGGAGCCCGGCCAGGCGTGGCTCAGAGGTTAAGCATCGACCTAGGATCCAGGCGATTAGGGTTCGATTCCCGGTGAGGGCACATGCCCGGGATGCGAGCTCGATCTATGACTCTTTTATCATTGATGTTTCTTTCTCTCTCTCTCTCCCTCTCCTTTCCTCTCTCTGAAATCAATAGATATATTTTTAAAAAAGAATACTTTTTTAAAAAAAGAAAAAGAAAACCTGAGGAAAGCTATGAACTCACTCCCCAGGAAAATGTATGTGCACATTCATGCACACAGCATAGAGTTTTGGGGGCGTATAAAGCTTAGGCCATGAGCTTATGCTCAAGAGGGAATGAAGCTGCTGTGAACTCTTATTCTATTACACGCAAGTCTACATTCCTTTTATAGTGAACATGCATTACATTTACAACTGAGAAAAATCAGCAGTTTGTGTATGTGTATGTGTATACACATGTATCTGTTACAGTTCTAGTTGGGAAAGAAAAGACAGACTCTTAGATAGTCTAAATAAGAATTCATAATAAAATGCCTACTGCAAAATTCCTCCCCACAATGTACCCCATAACAGTGCTGTGGAAAGCAGTGCAAACTTCATGGCAGGAAGCAGAGAGGCTGCAGCTTTTCTTTCTTACCTCAACTTCACAGTAAACTGCACCCCAGTCTTCAGAACCAATGGCCTCTGAGGATGAGTTGGCATGCAAGGCTGTCTCTCCACCACAAATGAGCTGTAAATTCCCAGTAAAGCATAAATTATCATTTCCACTAAGGTTGAGTCAGCAAAAAATTATTTCCCCTAAAGAGGAAAGAGGATTATAGGGCACAAGCTAAGAAAGAGTTTGAAAGATTCTAGCAGTTGGACAAAATGAGATTTTCTAGCCAGTAAAGAAATCCTCAAGTCTAATTTGCACACAACAAAATCGGAGTAATTATAGCTGAAACTTTCAGGATGATGACACAATCTGAAAACAGGTACAAGAGAAGAAAGCTCTGAGGTGGATGTATTGTTAGGAGAGGCATGAAGAAGTGAGTGTACAGGGTGGGCACGGGGTCAAGGCTGCCTGGACAGGGGGCCTGTGCGGAAGCCACATCTGTAGTAGCCATTTAGGGCCAGGCTGGGGAATGAGTGTCCAGCTGAGGGACTCCACTTGGATTAGCAGGTGACAAATAGCCAGACTGAACTCTGTGCTAGGTCACAGGGACTAGGGAGGAAGGAGCTGAGACCACGTGGGAGGCTACTATCCAAGAGTTCAGGAGAGAGGATTAGAAAGCCTGAAAGGAGGTGAGGCCATGGAGGGAGAGGACACATATCATGAGGTTAGTTGCCACCGTCTCAGCACAGACTGACTATGGAGGGACACAGAAGGAGTAAAACTTACTAGTTCCCACTCTAGGTGGCCACAAAATGAAGGTCGCTTGGCATAAACAAGGAATTCGGGAAGAGCTGACTGGCCATAAAAAAGTTTACATATCCCATTAAACTCTCCTTAATTATCTGAATTACCATATAATTTTCCTCTGGGTAACATAACTACAGAAGGTGCAAATCACTCTCCCTCAAGTTACCTCTGAATGAGCTGCTGGAAAAGGCTGAAGGTGCGATCCCATAATGCTTGCTTGTTTTTCGTGATGGGGTCATGTTCATAGGTGTACTTCTGTTCCAATTCCTCAAGCTTTTTAAGCTGCTGACGAACCTGCTGCAGACTCTCTGCAACTATGGTGAACCTGGGAAGGTGCAAGACACAGGGGTCTCAATCAGAAGCATGGACTAAAGGGAAGCACAGAAACAAGCATGTGGTTTTTACAGGCAACGTAATCCATTATCTATGCATGGCAGGGAGTGATGAAGAGGCTCCTCTTGGTATTAGGCAGCTGTTATTTGGGGAGAAAAAACTAACATGCTAACCAATTACAGCCCAGATCAAAAACACCTGCATGCTACTGAGATGGACCTAAACAACAAGAGATGGGTAGGGGTGGGGGCTTCTAGGGGGATCTGTGATTTCCTTACTGACCTGTAAGATAACTGAATTTGAAAGAACAGGGCAAAGGGGAGACATAGGGGACACGAACTGGCAGACGCCATCAGAGGTGATGAGGAGGGCAGTGATGAGGCCCCTAAACACTTTATATTAGGAAAAGGAAGAAAGAGCAGCCCAGAGGCTGTGAAAGCAAGCACAGGGGCTGTGAGGCCAGGTTAGGAGGAGAGAAGGGTACATAGGTTCTTGTTTCACTGAAATGGAAGATAATATGCTTAATCTAAACACTCAAATGTAAACCAAGGAGGGAACCTAGCAACTGCTTCCACTTCCTCCCTCCTCACAGTAAACTGCCAACAGTGATGTGGCCTCTGAGCAAAGTCAGGATGTGAAAGTGTTGTCTTACTTGCCTGGAGTAATGATGAAAGAAAATCTCCCCAATGAAAAGCATGTCCTTCACTCTGTGGTTTCATGCCCTGAATCCCATTCCAAGCAAAGAGAGTTCCAGAGGGATTCGAACCCAGTGCTCCCCAATTTTGTTTTGCATGGGCACATGAGAAAATGATAGTCCTTGTACAGCACAGTGGGGGATGCTGGAAGGCATTTGTGTCTTCTAAAGAGGCTCCTGTGGCCTAAAGAGACCAGTAGGGGGCTTCAGAAAGCCCAGGGCCTCCCTGTGTCCTGAGGGGCTGGGGGGTCAGTACTGCTCAAGGCACACGGGGCACACTGGGCTGGGCAGCTCTGTTCTGACCCACAACAAATTTGTGATACGGACAGGCAATTCACAGAATACAAATACATGGCTGAATATGAACTGTGATTTTTTTTTTCCAAAATAGCAATCCAAAAAGTCAACTCATGAGATCTCTGGCAGTTGGGCCCCTGGGAATTATTCCAGGCCACCATCCCCTCAAAGCCACTGTGATTCCCCCTCTCCCATCCCCTCTGCTCTGGCAGCCCTCCTTGGACTACACTACTGTGCTTACTGTAGCCCAGCTGGACTTTCTGTCTCTATTCTATTCCCCAGGCTGCTGCCAGTGACCTCACTCAATCAACAATCAGAGACAGAAAAATCCTGTCTGGCCTACCAGTGCCTATGGAATGAAGTTCCATTCCCAGCATGGGGTGAGAACCTCCACGACCAGGCTCCAGCCTCTCGCCAGCTCTGATTTCATTCTTTCCCCCGCGCACCCCACTCTCCAGGCATCGGCAGTGCAGTACTGCAGGCCCTCTCGTGCCCTGCCTCCCCTCACCACTGCGCCCTGTCTACGCTATCCTCCCAGGTTGACACGAAGTGCTCCTGCTCATTCTCAAGGTCTGCGCAAGTCCGACTCCTCTTGGAAACCTTTTTCGGCGACTCCTTCATTCGTCCTCCAGGGAACTGTGGACAGACCTTTGTCAGAGCGCTGGCAACACTGTACTGCACAGAATTATCCCGTCTACCTCCTGCCTCCACACCGAGAGCTCCTTACTGGCAAGGACCAAGAAGCACTCACCTTTGTGTCCCTAGGTCCTAGCCTAGGGCCTGGCACACAGCATTTACTGGATGGGTGACTAATACATGGCCCACCACAAACTTATTTCATGTAGTCCTGGAAAATACCTCAAGCTATTTTGTTTTTAATAAAAATTTAGGACTGAAGTTGTTCAGTGTGTTATGTGACAACCATGTCACTGGTGTTTTGGCACAAATGACATACTCCTTGGCACAGGTAGAGCAGGGAGAGGAATGCCCCTAATCAAGCAGAACACGGCTAGACAGAACCAAAGGCAGGGACAAAGCTGAGCTTTCCAAGTGAGTGTTTCCAGGGAGAGGAGGAGCTGGACTACGTCAAACTCTAAGGCAGAGTTCCGACAGGTACATTCAGCTAATGCAGCTCAAATGTGCACCTTACGAGTGTATATGGTTAGCCAGTCAGCTGCCGTGTTTCTGCTTTGCAGAACCTTACCAGTTCTGCAGCTGATCGAGGCAAGCGTTGGGGGGTCCCCCAATACAGGCACTCTGCTGTCTCCGCTTCCATTCCACCAGTTCGTCATTAATCAGGGCTTTCTGGGTAAGCTCGGTGACATTCAACAATTCTATTATTTTGTGAACTACTTCCTAAAGGGAAAGGAAGAAACAAAGTGAAATAAATTTACCTTTAATCACTGAATTTTAAAATATATATTTAAAGCAAAGCAAATATCCTTTTGTCTTAACTGTGGCTCTAAGTCAAGTGGTTATAAAAGTAATTTTGCCTCTATTCTAAACTTACATCCATTATTTATAGTCTGTGACAAAAGCAACACATTTTTCTGGAAAGTGAATCACTACCTTTCTCTTATGGTCAAGCATTAAATACATCTTCTGGAGTAACATTTGTTCTTGCTTCTGATCACTCTTCGCCACACCATTGGTTTCATGTTCTATGAATTGGGAGAGATAACAGATAAATAAGAAAGTGAAAAATTCGCATGCACTTAGGAGAAGTATGATCTAAATGCTATCTGGTAATGGGTAAAAGTTGGCTCTTCTTCCATCTTTCTTGAACAAAACAAGAAAAATGTCCTATGTATAAAAACTGGACGCACTAAAACAAAGTACTTATTTTTAATGGCCCATGTAAACTGGAAACAATACTCTTTGGTTCTAAAGTGATTGTCAAAATATGAGCTAAATGAATCTAAGTGGCAAAATTCAAAATTTCAGGTAAAAAAGCAAAGCAAATCTGTAGCTTTGAAAAAAAAAGTAGATGATTAGGAAATAACAGTAGTTGAGGTTCCACTCTCATAGTTTTTACCCAAATCATACTAATAATCTCTCCAATATTTTTATTGAATGTATCTGGGTGACATTAGTTAAAAAAATTACATAGGTTTCAGGTGTACAATTCTATAACACATTATCTATATATTGTATTGTGTGTTCACCACCTCAAGTCAAGTCTCCTTCCAGCAACATTTACTCCCCGCTTTACTCTCCTGTATTAACCAAGCTATCCTCCAAATGACTGCTAGGGTTATAGCAGTACCCTACATGTTCTACACAATGCACACTTGTGGGTTATCTTCAGTTGCTGTAATCATTAAAAGCAAGCAACAACAAAATAGAGCTAAACTGCTTTAAAACATGGAAAAACGAGGAATGTATTCTGCAGAATATACACATGGAGCTGCAATGTTTGAAACTGCTTAGGCATTAGGGCATGAGAACACCATATTCCTATCACTCTCAGTCAATAGTTGGGCTAGACACCAGTGTCACTAAGGGCACCGCCAGGGATTAAGGGGTAGTTCTACTGCCACCTGGTGGACAGAAGTCAGAGATGCTGCTAAACAGACTACAGTGCACAGGACAGCCCTGCATAATGAATTATCTGACCCAAAATGTCAACAGCAATGAGGTTAAGAAACTCTGGGTCAGTAAGAAGCCAAGACTAGCAATTCAGTATCAAAATACTTGGCAAATATGAAGGAGTATTGGTTTTCATTATCTAATGTAGACAGAAAGAATTACAGCCAAAGAGCACTGCTTTGAACATTAACTTACCTCTGTTCTGGGAGGTTTTGCATTTAAAGTCATACTCATCTTGTAAATCTTCTAGGGTCTTGATTTCATGCTCTATGCACTACAATAAAGACATAAATAGGTTTGCTACTGACCAGCTTCTATGGACGTTAAGAAACAGATCATTGCTTCCATAAGACCCAGAGAACCATGGTAATAATCCTGCTCTCTCAAAGATGGACTAGACTTGCAAAATCTGAGTCATAGACATTAAATAACTTATATTTCATTAATAAGAATATAATAACTTTATTTAGAAAAAAAACTATATGGTTCTTTCTGGACTGGACCCACTGATTTCTACTTTAATGAAGTGGTTCTCTAGAAGGCTGCAGGATAAAGTTGTTCCAAAGAATCTGGAGTTTGGAAGGACGCCGTCTGAAGCACCAAGTTAAGGCCATGCGGTGTGTCCCAGAGACCACAGGAGATCACACCCCTCATCCAGTTGGCCTTTCCCACAGATACAAGCCTGGTGTAAAGCAGGTTACCTTCATCCTTCCCCTCAAAATAGCCCTAACAGTAGAGGGGAGTGAACAAATCCCACCAAAGGCGCTTCTGAAGCAGCCCTCTGCTTCCACAAATGGTCTTGCAAGTTTCTGTTAAAATTATTGTGGCCGTTTTATTCTAACTGGAAATGTATCAGAATTTCTTTAATGAGATTTTTTTGTTCCACTTCCAAGTTTTGGAATAAAAAAGGTGTTTAAGGAGGACAGACCATGCTTATCCTGGGGCTCTGTGTAACCCCAGGAACACTCCAGTTTGAGGCCCAGACTTAAAAGGCTATTTAGAGCAGCAACATCTAGTTTATTGGGTGATGGGGCAAAGTCAACAGTTACAACATGATACTACATGGGAGAAAAAAAAGAGAAGCTCAATGTCTGGAAGTTACAACAGGAAGTTATAAGAGTCTACTCATTGGTTTCACCAACTTGTTTACTTAAGGTTTGGAACTTCAGCTAAACTCTTCTCAACTATTTAAAGGACTGAAATCAGTTACTATGTTCACACTGGAGCAACTGAAACCTTTTATCCTGTACAAAAAGTCACAGAATAAATGTATCTATTTACTCAGTACTCACCATCACTTTGTCCTTCACATTTCTGACTCTGCTGTCAAGCTCCTTCTGTTTGTCTAACATCACAGTGTTCTGAATATTCCCCGACTGAGCCTGTAATGGGAGGTGCATGGTCAATAGTCACCTTTTCACTGGGCATATTTACCTGCTGGTTATACTCCAAAGTCAAGTCTATATACCCTGTGCCCTCCATTACCTCTGAGACCTCCCAAAACTTCCTTACACAGGCTTCCCACATGAGTATCTGTAAGACATAGCTCAGTTCCCAAGGCCCTGGAAAATGCTGGCAAACTGTTTATGCTACAGAAAGACTAGGCTCAGTTCATTCCAAAAATAAACAGCATTTCTGAAATTTCCCATTAATTCATACAGTTGCATGGTGCCACACAGGAATTTATTTCAGGGTTTCTCAAATTCTGTAGACAAGATTCTTTTTTATTAACCCTGTACTTGTCTTAAAGCCTTGCGATTCAGAGTGTGGTCCCCAGACTAGCAGCATCTTACCACCTCAGAGCTTGTTGGAAATGCAGAATCCTGGGTCCTAATCTGATTACTGAATCAGAAACCCCATTTTGACAAGACCCCAGGCAATTCAGAGGCATAACAGTCCTGTTGTTAAGGACTTCAGTATCTGCTAAAGTAATGACTATCAGCCCAGACTCACTGGGAGTGTTTAGTCTTCAGCCTTGCTAACCGAGAGACTCAGACGCAGCAGTGCCTTTGCTGATTACACATGGTGTTCTCTGATTTATTCATGCAGCATACACTGACGAGGTACTAAGTCAGCTCAGGCAATGTTCCAGGCCCAGGCAGTAGAGCGGAAAACAAGACAGACCCTGTTCTCACAGAGATTAGACTCCAGAAAGATTCTATTTTTGTTTAGAGTTAAACCCCCCCTTGGCAAAAACTGTGCCCATCAACCTATCTTACTTACTGCCCAACACAGATTCTATGTGGGCATTCTGATACATTCAGATTTATCAGTCTTTTCTCTTTTATACCTGGACTTTCCTTCATATTAGAAAGCCTTTCTCTATTGACAGACTAAAAGAGTTCACTCATTTTTTCCCTAGCACTTGGTTTCCTTGTTTTTACATTTAGATATCTGATACAGCTAAAATTTATTCTTTTTAAAAAAAAACAAAACTTTATTGATTGAAGGGAAAGGGAGACAGATAGAAACATCAATGATGAGAGAGTCGTCACTGATCATCCTGCACAACCCCGACCGACTGGGGATGGAGCCCACCCCCTGGCCATGTGCCTTGACTGGGGATCAAACTGCGATCTCCTGGATCCTAGGCCTAGGCTCAACCGCTGAGCCACGGCCAGCCTAAAATTTATTATGTTTAATGTGAAATATAGTCCAGTTTTAACTTTTTCCAATTGGCTATCCATTTGCCTTAACATTTAATGAAAAGTTCCTATTTCCCCCAGTGCTCTTGAGTTTCCACCTTTATCATATCAATTTCCATATGCACCTGGGTTTTCTCTTCTTTGCCACTGATCTTTTTCTTCATAAGCCTGAACTCCTGACCAATGTTTAATTATGGAAGGTTTATAGTATATCTAGCAGGGGTAGCCCCATTTCATTGCTCTACTTTTTCACAAGTTTCCTTGTTATTTCTGCATGTTTATTTTTCATATGAATTTCAGAATCAATTTGTATAACTCCAGAAAACAACTTGTTATTTTTATTGGGGTCATATTAAAATTATGAATTAACTCAGGAAGAGCCAATATGTTTATGATGCTCTTAATTCCTCTGATTCTAACGGTTTTCTTTTGTCTAACTGCATTGGCCAATACCACCAATATAATGCTAAATAGCAGTGGCAATCGGGGACATCCTTGCAATGGTCTGACTTACTGATGTTTTCCCAATTAAGTACGATACTACCTCTAAAACTGAGATATGTATATTTTACTATGTTAAAAAGGGTATCCATCAATTCCTATTTTATTGAATTTTTTAATCAGAGATGGGTGTTGGATTTTGTCAGATCTTTTCAGCATCTATGGAGATAAACATATGCTTCTTCTCTTTATATCTATTTATATAATGAATTACATTAATGGATTACCCAGTTACAACCTACCCTTGCATTATAGAATCAATTTTACTTGGTCATGATGTATTATTTTCTTAAAGTAGTATTTAATTCTGATTCCTAGTATTTTATTTAGGATTTTTACATTGATATTCATAAGTGAAATAGGTCTATAATTTTCTTTCTTGTTCTATCTTTATTAGGTTTAGGTAATCAGAGTTACTTTGTTTATAGAAAACATTTTTAAGTTTTCCTTCATTTTATATACCCTGCAGCAGCAGAAATTCAAATCGCATGCATTATATCAGTGTAAAGTGTATGTTAGAAATACATGAAAACAACTGACATGCCCAGGTGCCACGTCACTAAGTGATAAACGGGGCCGCTCTCGCTACTCAGAATGAGCCGTCATCTTGAGCAGCTTCATAAGGCTTCCTGCCCCTGCAGGGAAATCTTTGATGCTGTTTCTAAGCCAGCTGGACATGGCGCCGGGTCCTTGGGCTCTGCCAACAGCTGGGACACTTCACCCCTGGGAGGGCCCTGCCTTCCTCGCCCTCCTCCCTAAGCGATCACAGGTTAACTTAGTGAGCAGGGGTGCAGACAGTCATGGCTACCTAACTGGGAGCTTACCATCACGTGCTTAACAAAATAATAACATCACTATGACCACTCTATACTTTTGACTCTAATACTACTTCCAGGATGAGTCTTTAACTTTTTAACTTTCTGACAAACCAGGAAACATCAGGAAACCACAGAAACATCAAATGTTAAAGTTGGAAGGGACCTCTGCATTCGCCGACTCCTATTTTCTCATGTCACACTCACACCTCTAGAGACCTATGTTTGGAGGGTTTTGATTAGAACTTGGTTCCTTACACACCCCAGACAAAAGAAAAATCTTCTATTCAGGGAGGCTGTTCTCTTACCGGAATGAGCAGCTCCCTGAGTAAGGAGATGTGTGACAGGCACCTAATGGGTATAGGAGTCCCAGTCAGAATGCCCTCCTATCCCATCTCACAGATCAGAAAACTGAAGAGAGATTAAGTGACCTCTTTAATGAACTGCTTTTAGAGTCAGGCAATTCTAGGTTTAAATTCCAAACTGAATTAGTTTTGTGTTCTTGAGCAAAGTACTTGACCTCTAAACCCTGGCTTTCTCATCTGTAAAATGGAAATAAGAATGCCTACCTTCAACAATAGTTTTGAAAACATTCACTCAAATGAAATAAAGTTTATAAAGTACTTAGCACAGGGCCTGAAAGATAAGCACTCAGCATACGGCAACTCTACTATTACTCAAGACCATGAAGATGGAATAGCAAAGGGAAGTCTAGATCCATGTCATGTCCTTCCCTCCAACCTAAAAGAACTGACCACCACCTGTGGTGGTGAACCCTATGGACCTAAATCCTGTCCATTCCATAGAGTTAACATGTTCAGCACGAGAAAGAAAAAACCCTTAGTGTGCTATAATGTCAGCAGACAAAACATTTATAGGCCACTAAGAAGCATCTGTGTATAACATAATACAGGGGTGGGCAAAGTAGGTTAATAATAATAAATAATAGATTAATAAATAAATAATAATATGGGAATAAGATGTGTTTCCCATATGCATAACTGTAAACCTACTTTTGCCCACCCCTGTACTGTCTTAAACGTATTTTCCAAAAGCTCTTCTATTAAAACAAAACATAATGGAAACAGTATTTCCTATCCCAACATTTCAATACAATTCTGTGTCCTTTAAATGCTAAACTGGTTCTGAATTTTGCATATTTTCACCTGAATTTGTTGAATCCCTATGTACTGTCACGTAGTTTTAATAATATCAATTCATGGACACTATTGTTTCAGCTAAAATCTCCCTACTCCTCTCACCCCCCAAACTGGATTATTTTGAGAAAAATACATCACATTATTCCACACATACATGTATCAGTAAAAATAGAAGATAGAAGATGTACTGTTAAAACGCAGTTACCTCAACAAGAGGGGAAATGGGGAAGAAATAATTCTAAATTTCCCAGCCAGTAGTCAGTTGGATTACTTTGGAAAGGAGGCATCTACTGTGCTTTTTCCATTTCCCAGATATCCCCAGACATCCAGGACCTTCCCTCAGACCCCAAGAAGGCTCTGCTTCTCTTGCTTTCAGCTGGGCAGTCAACTAAACTTCCTCAAACGCGTTCATTGATAACTCGCGTGTCCTCCAAGAGGTTTAAAGTGAACCTCCCCCCAGGTTACCTACATTTGTAAAGGGGAGCTCAAAAGCTGACAGGCCTTCAAGACCCAAAGCATACCCAGGAGATGGGGTTGATCTGGGAGAGGAGAAACTATCTACTCTGCTTCTCGATGCCAACTCTGGGCCTTGGGACCAAATACGAGGAAACGCTTGGGTGTCAAGGTAGACAGTTTGTTCTTCTGCCCGTCTCTATTTTCGGTTGTCCTCTCAAGTCTATTTGAGATACAGGAATGTCCCATCACACTCTGCTATTAAGAGGAAAATCCCACATAATAGTGTCCTGCTATAAATCTCCCAGGTCCGTGCCAAGCAGGTGTAACTTTCTCAGAGAAGACAATACAGCCAGGTTTTCCTCCAACACTGATACACACTTTTGTTCACTAGACTGGGTAACAGTTGGCCTAGTCAGTTTGAGTTTAGAACAAATAATACATATCTCTAAATGCTTAGTGCAGCAAGGCGCATTCAGCGTGACAGGGAAACGGAGAAAACGCCCGCAGAGGCAGATTCGCAGGATCGGGCAACAGCTCAGGAAGTACACGGAGAACAGCTCTCGCTGCCACTACTTAAATTCTCTCTCTCTTTCTCCCACCATCTCACAGTTCACTTTGCCAGTCTCTTGTTAGAGAAAGCACACGAGACACACTCCACTGTGCACTCAGCATTCTCCCCTCATGCGGGAACTGTCTCAGCCAGAACAACCCACACTACAATGGTTTCACAACTGTCTGCCTGCTGGGTTTTTCCCACCACCCAAACATGCAAGAAGGGAATGAATAAATGCCATGGCAACTTCAAGAAACTGCTGGATCCTGATCGCCAAGGTTTGTAGATTTAACAAAATCATGATAAAAAATCTTGCGCTAATACAACTCTGTCTCACTCACTGTTTGGATGTCTTAGAAATTTAACAGGTACCACAATTCTAGTTAAAACAAAGCTCTTGACTGTCCCATCAACCTGTTCTTCTCTAAAAATCTACTGTGCCCTCACAAACCCCACCTCTCTCTTTTCCCTGTCTTCCCAAGCTCGGTAAACAGTAGCTCTCAGTGACGCACGTTACATACAAATCAGTCATCCTGATCTTTCACTACCTTACTACCACATCTGATCCTTCATGATAAGCCTGTTGGTACCGTGTCCACAACATAACCTGACTCTGTCCACTGCTGCCCACCGCTACAGCATGCACTCCACCTCCCGCCCTTGGTCTGCGGCAAGAGCCCACTAACCGTCTGCTTGCCTCCTTTCCTGCCGCAGCACCGAGCAAGTTTCCCGACCCTGATCTAAAGAAACAACCCCATCTTTCAGACACTCCATTACTGTCTACACAGTATCCTACTTTGTTATCTTCACAGCAATTGCTACTGTCTGAAAGAATTGTGCTTATTTGTTGCCTCTCTCCATCAGACTGACTTCCACTAGATCAGGCTCCTTTCATGAAGCCTGGGGCTATAAAATCTCTATTTCTGATTTTCCCCAATTCTTGGGGCATAAAATTAGAGGACTACTCACCACTGCCTTGAACAGGACCTCAACAATATTCGATGGATAAATAAATAAATTTTTATCTTATTATTATCTTTAGTGTTCAATTAGGAAAAAATGTACCTGATTGAATCTCTGGGCATTTTCCAGAATTTTTCTTTCCTCCTTCAGACAGTTATAGATGATCATAGACATCTGTATTGGGTCTTCCTGAAAATTATCCTATATATGATTGTTAGAACAAAAATAAATTAAATATCAGAATGTTTAAACCATTGTGTTTTATGAATTGAGATGAACCTGTTCATATTCACTGAGAAACTTCATCCTGCATTTATTAAATTCTACTTAAGTTATTTTTGGTAAAATCAAAATACTCTTTTCACAAATTATGGCAACTGCTATAACTTTTCAAATAAGGGCAGGTATCTCAATTACTTCTTGATTAAAAAAATAAGTATTTTTATACATGGCTCCTATAATATTTTTTCTTTGATTTCTATTGTTCTTAAGCCCAATTATATTTTGTTAGGATCCTGAGACAATACAAATGATACAAAAATTATCCATGATATTCCTCAATTTAACTGATGGTCCCTGCTTTGAATTAAACCAAATACATTCTCTGTTTTTCTGCTTCCTTGTCAAAACTAGTTTGCAAAATACTGGCAATCATGGTTTTTTATAACAGGAATATTCAAGCAAGGTCTATTAGAGAACAAATTTTTATAAAGTTAATCTGACTTCCCCATTCATTATAAAACCCTAGATACATTCAGAAAGAAAAAAAACAAGCTTCTAATTACCTAAGTTGAATAGTTTGGTTGTGTGTATGAAACAAGAAAACACCAGTGCTCACCTCTGTTAAAACAGGAAAGTTCCCTTAATACAGAAATAAATATGGTAGCCAGGCAAGGAATGCTGGTAGCACTTTTGAAGTAATTCCAAAACTTTGTAGCACATTCTCTCCTGCCTGGAACTCCCTCTGACTTTCCCTTGCATGGCAACTGCACCAGAAGCAAGGCAAGGAGGGGTCTCGTTCCAGTTCGCCAGCGCACTATTGGGCATTAGGGAAGTCAGCCCTTTCTGGACTTATTCTCCATCTGTATACCAAGGACTTAGACTGGACTCATCACTAAAGTTCCTCTGAGCTTTAACATGTTACCACAGCTCACTGCTCTTAAAATGTAACCCTTTTTCTTTGGTTTAAGTATCAACAACTTACAGTAAAACAAGGCTCTAGCATTACATTTTTCTCAGAATTACTGATGCCTAACAAGTGATACACTTAAACCTAAAAATTCCTTATATGTTTACAAAATGAACTGACATTTTATTTTACTTATGCTATAAAATTTTAGCCACACAAAGGAATTTTACTTACAGTCTCTCTAACTTTTCTAAATACCAGTGAGTGTGTGCTCTCTTACGTAAACATGGGAACATTCCAACTAAAACACAAAAGCCAGGTCATACCTGAAGATTACGCTTGCTTTTCCTTATGTTATGCTGCAACAAAAAATTATTTTCCAAAGAAAAGCGACTGTACTGATCATCCAGCTGTGATAGGAGGTCATGAAAACGGATGGTGGCAAAGGAGACATCATTGGCAGCATGCTCCCTAGATTTAAAATTTACACATTTCATTTAGGTACTATTTTAAAGAGACAAAATAATCATTGCTTTCCATGCTGAAATTATTAAAAATGATTTTAAGTGTTTCCTTATGTTTTATTTCCTTCTTTTGAAACTGACACTGCTTTAGCAGCACTTTGTACAATATATCTATCTAGTATATACAGTTAGCATGAAAAATTCTAGAACTGAAAGACTGCACAAAACTGTTAATGGTGATTATCTATGGAAGGGAAAAGTGAACAGGGGATTTTATTTTCTATGTCAGATACGTTCAGAACATTAAAAGTATTTGCAATTAGCAAACGATAAATTTTAAAATAGAACATACATCAGTTTTATCATCCCCTGAATGTTATTACCTCTTCATATATATATATTTTTCCATTGCTTTTTCAGAGAGAGTGGAAAGGGGAGAGAGAGAGAGAAACATTGATGTGAAAGAGACACATCGATTGGTTGCCTCCGCATGTACCCCAACTGGGGCAGGGGATCCAGCTTGCCACCAAGATATGTGCCCTTGGCCGGAATAGAACCTGGGACCCTTCAGTCCATAAGCCGATGCTCTAACCACGGAGCAAACTGGCTAGGGCACCTCTTCATATTTCTAATCAATATTTTACCATAACTTAGCTTTAATTTCTTTCTATGATCTGTATCCTAACTTGGGAAATACTTAGTGTCACATTATCTACGTTATCCAAGCATTTAGGAGTATGTATCATAATTAAATTGACAAAACTACATAAAAGTATTCAGTGACTAATGTATTTAGCGTTGTAGAGACACATGCCATTTTTCAAATTAATATTCTTTTCTATAACAGATAATCCCAAAGGCCACTGATGAGATTCATCTACTAGGCAACGTGGCTCTAAGTCACTTGATCAACAAGTTATTTTAAAAGCACAGAAAAAGTTTCTTCTCAGTCAAGTGAGTTTTCCTTACCAGTCTTGCTTTTCTAGCCACTGTGCCAGGTACTGTCTGATTTCCATGGGAAAACTGTCATCATAGAGCTGGTGAACCTGCTCCAGGAATTTGGAGTCAAGCTGCTGAAGCTCATACCACTGCGACATGCTAAAGGAAAACAGAAATTAGATCATGAATGGAAGTCCACCGCTCCAAGGAACACGGATTTAGCATTATGCTTCTTTTATTTTGAGTACTGTCTGTTTTCCTCACATGAATGAAGAAAAGGATTTTCGGGAGATTTTGTTCGCTGCTATATCTCCAGAGTAGTGCTGAGTACATACGTGTTCAATAAACATGCCTTTTAAATAAATCTGTACTTTTATCAAACAAATAAATGGAAAACACACTTATACTTACTTTAGGACAAATCATAAGAACTCTCCCCAAACTGCTCTTACAAATTACAGTACATTTAAGTCAAAGATTTTAAACTAGTATTTCATATTTTATGATTCAAAGGGTAAAATGAATTACTTTTGTTATGTAGCTTTTAAAAGATATTTTCTTCTTGCCAACTGCAAACAATAAATCTGGCACAAAAAATCTTAAATCTCAGTAACAAATTAAAGGTTGAAATAACATCATTAAATATAATTGGAAAGAATAAAGTAATACTATCTCTTTGGATAACTGAAAGTCCATTTTTACATAGCAATTCTAAAGATTAAAAATTAAAACAAAAACCTAATTTAAGGAAGTCCTAACATCCATTAGGAAAATGAAGAGCCTCCCATCACCATGGTGTAATTTAGGATTTACACCAGGCACGCCTGACAACATTCACAGTGACTATTCCTATCAGGCCTCTGAGGAAGGGGTCTGGATTTTCAAGCAGGGACTGGAAGAATGTATGCACACTTACTGGCGAGCAAATGTGTGTGGGCATAAAGTCACATCTACTCCACAAATTTCCTTCCAAAGGGAGATAAGGACATGGTGGGAATACAAAGCTAGTTAACATCACGAACACCAGTAGAAACGGACCCAAACCCACTCTTTTGGCGCACCTTCTGTAGCAATTTGCTTTTCACTTCGAATTTATTGTACCTGAGCAGAAGACTCCAAATTTGTGGTTCTCTCCTTCCCTGTTAGGTGTCTAATAAGGATGTGCCTAAAATAAATGTGCTGGCAGAGTGTATGCCAGCGGAGGCTGCAATAGCTCTTGTCAGGCAAGTGACCTCAGGCAACTAACTTACTTGCCTATCACTAGGATGGTGGTTAAGAATGGATGAACCAGTACAGAGGCACTACCTGGAACAGAGCAGGCAGTCAATAAATTCACACTAACAAAACCAGAATCCATCTTATCTTCTTACAAAACATGTTACTAACAGAGGGATTGGCACGACTGTGCCCCAATTACCTGGCTCAAAAATCCCAACTTTCAGGCGGACTCCTTCCTCTCTAGTCCCATGACCTCCTACCTCCCTGCCTCCAACACTCTTCCCAATCCAGCCTTCTGCGGCAGGTGCGCAGGCAGGTTGGACATCACTCACGCTCAAAATTGCTACAGTCTGCCCATTCTTACGCTGATTTCCACCCGGACCTTATTTTCATCTATTAACAAAGCACCCAGTCACCAAATTCTCTCTGGGTTTTTGGCTATGCCCAACATTTCTGCTTTGCTCCAGCTATTACTCACCTTGAAAACAGTCTCCCCACAAATGTCTGCCTCTCTAAATCCTACCAGTATTCAAAGGTAGGTACAAATACCCCTTCTTTCATAAAGCTGCCTGAGTCTCACCCAGCCACAATTTACCTTTCTTTGACTTGTACCTCATTGTATTTTGTTTCTCTATGAGAGCATCAGTCTGTCTTCCTTTTAAAAGCTCTGTGTTTTCTCGCCTGCATGATGTAAGCTCCAGAGTTTCAGGGACCATGCCTTTAAAAAAAAATCCTCTGTTCCTTGCACAGCATCCTGCACATGTACTCAATAATAGTTTGTTGAACTGAAAATCTAGTATACTTCAGATTGCAATAGAAAGAAAAGGGCAAACCCTATTACCGTCCAACAAGTTTAAGTCCTGCATCCTTATGAAGCAACGGTTGCATACTGGCTTATGCTGGAGGCTCAAGTCTTATTTCCATCCCAGAAAAACCACCACCTCTCCAACCTATGCAAACAACATTCAAAGCACAATCAACCACACACCTACGTATCTACCCCCAAACTCTCCAGGACCAGTCAGAACAGTTTAATTAAGACTAATTGTATTCTTTGGGGGTTTGCAGGAAGGAAATACCACTTTTATACTGTAGGAAGACATTCCGTTCCCGAGTCATGTAATCATTCATTCATTTCCATGAACACTTTCTAACCTACGCCTCACGCCCCAGCGAGGGCTGGGGACTCCGCCCGAGCAGCAGGGCACACGCGGCAAGCGCAGGAGGCGCGCTTCTCACCCAGAAAGCTCTCCAGCGGCGGGCTCGGCACATCAAAACTTTCTGCCCAAGTCAGGAACGTGAGAGGGGTGGAAAGGGGCAGGAAAGAGGGAATCGGGAGGGCAGAGATGCAGTGTTCTCTGGGGGATAACTGTATTTCACAGACACCTTCCCCGCCAGAGCACCACCGGGGGGGCAACCGTGCCACCGCCGAGAGCAGCGCCTGGGACGCTCCGCGCCGCTCTCTGCGGGCGGCTTCCCCGCGCGGCGGCCGCACCTCCCCCCGGCGCCCGGAGCCTCTCGTCACTCACTCTGCGCGCTGGGAAAACGGGGACGCGCGAAGGCGCGGCGGTGCGGCCTCTCCCGGGGGCGCCCGGTCGCCTCTGCTGGGTCCGGGGTCTGGTCGGTGCGGTTTCCGGTGAGGCGGGACCTCTCCGGAGCCTCGGCGCAGGAAAACGAAAGTACCGGCGGCCAGAAAAGGCAGCACGACCGCCCCGCCTCCTTCGCCTCCACCAATCACCGAGGCTCCGCGCTCAGCCAATGGGGCGCGGCTGTTCCACAGGCGCGCTGCCTCCCCTCCGGGGCCGCCCGTCAGCCAATCCGCTGCGTCCTTCCGTAGCCCGGGGGCAGGGTCCCCTCCTGAGTGACGCGCGGCTCGCTCAGCTACGTGTTGCAACTTGGCGGACTGACAATTCTGTTTACACATTCTAGAGAGCAACGGAAAAGGAAGTTCTGTGTTTGCAGCGGCCCAGACCTGGAGATCTCTGTTACCCCCACATCTGAGAACCTGAAGCTAAGGACACGAGTGGGGCACTGTCATTCTAGAAACAGCTTAGCAGCTGTGTCCGTGTCCCCCCCCCCCCCC